GGGTCCAGAAAGCAGCTCCGTTATCACAGAACTGTCCTGGCTTATGAAGAGTCTCCACAAATTTTTCCAAATGCTTTCAGCCTGGCGGCTCTAGCTGGTTTCCGAGCCTTTACTGACACTGTGTGGAAGAGGTGGGAACAACAAGTGCTTCGCTTTTTAAAGCTCTGCTGAAGTCTGAAAAAGGTAAAGGGAGGTGTCTCCGGTGAGATGAAGGATCTGAGGCAGTCTAACAGGCATTAGAAAAACAGCTGCTCCTGGTGAAACCTGGCCTGCCTGTTGGTACGTGCAGGAATCATTCTATCTCTGACATGTTTTGTAAAATAAAAGCAAAAATATGGGAAATAATACAATACATTGGACAGGTAATTTGGTTCTATTAGCAGTAGGGAAAAGCATGCAGAGCAGAAGCATGTTTCAGAACTGCTTTTTTACATTTCTCTCCTTTATAATCCTCTTTTCTTCAGTGTCTGTGTTAACACCACTTTGCTCACTTTCTTTCTCAGTCCTGTTTATAGCTAGGAACATCAAAGGCTGCATAAAAGCTTTGCACATAATATTGAAATGAAGTTTTATTAAATTATTTTTACTATTTCACAGATGTTTTGATGGAGGTCTAAAGAGCTTAGTTTGGGCCACTCTCCTGTGCTCCAACTAAACAGGCGTCCTGCTAACACTGTGGTACCTCCCAAGCTTTTTAGGAAGGCTGCTGCTGGCCTCATCTCCTATTTTATTATTTTGAAGTACTTTTTGGTAAAATACACTTCCAACTGAGAATCTTTACTACCTTTCTTATCCTTTCTTCTGTTCATCAAGATAAGTGGACATTCACGGCTCTCTGCTATTTCTGTTTGTGTAGGCAGATGGCATTTCACCTCCATGGAACTTTCTTACTCTAATGTGTTCCTTGAGTGTTTCTATGTGAGCTGAGTGCTTCTCTGTAAAACTGCCTGGTATGAAAATGTGTAATCAGAGTGTATAGAGTGGAGAGCATATGAAATTCTTTTGTTCTGACACTTAACTAGCTGCACAATATTCAGTGGCTTAGTCAAACTGTTTTTCATGCCTTTAAAATAGCAGGTTTTGAGCACAGGCTAGAGAGTCTTTATTGATGAGCTGCTAGAACATTATCAATGAGGCTATTGTCCAAGACTACTGAGTAACCTTGGACTGTAGTAAACTCAGAAAAAGTGAGTCTGGAAGGAATGTATTCAACTAACCATGTGTCATTTAGGACTTATTTATGACTTTTTATCTTTCTGTCCTATTCAAATAACTTGTAGGAAATCCTCACAGTTTTTAGCCTTGCACTGAATGAAAACATTACTAATGCCTGTGGCAGGTTGAAAACAGTACTGCAAACAGCAGAGGGCAATAAGGGCAGAGCAGAGAAAGCTGACTTGGTTTTAAAATACTTCCTCTTCAGAGGCTTTTTTTTCACAAGCTCTCTTTTTTTTTCTTTTTTCTTTTTTCTTTTTTCCTTTTTTTTTTTACTACATTAATGGAACGAGTTTCTGGGATATTTAATTGTTATGGTAATATATAAATATTTATGTAAACTTAAAGCTGATTAAGGTGCTCTTGTGCTATGTGCCGTAAAAAGAATGGGAAATATTTTATGCTGCACAGAAGAGAAGAGGTCAAAAGGGGAAAAACACAAGAATAAGCAGCGAAATATAAAGTAACAAATTCTCTTGCATTTCTGTGCTTGTAAACTATTGGACTTTTTCATCTTCCAGGTGCCTATCCCTATGGATTAGAATTCAATGGAATTCAGGGGTAGTTTCTGTGCCTTGGCTTTCCTGAACACTGCTACACCCTGAGTAGCAAGAGACACAGTCTTTTATGTTACTCTGAGGAACAGCAAGTACTGAAGTTCATCTGAATTCCATCTGTGTTAGGCCAGTGGGATCTGTAAGGTTTAGTACACAACAGGGAATTAGGAGTCCAAGTTTCTCATTCTGTGTCTGATTTACTGTGGGGCCTTTAACAACTTCTGTTCTGCACTTCGCTTTCTTTGTGTCAGAGATGAAAATGGTAGTAATTCCTAGATCTCTGGGGTCTCACAAGGTTTCATTTGCTCCCACAGCCTTGAACTCAACATGCAGAATGGTATGAATTGATTTCTGATACAGCTGGTTGCCAGTGAGATTGACCTCATATTTGTCAATTTAATGGATTTGTTTTACCAAAAATAATGTTTATGTTCAGGTCTTTTTCACATGGACCAGCACAGGAATGGGAATAGGCCTGGTCAAAGACTAAACATATCTGCTTAAACCTTGCACCTTTGGGCAATGACATGCATGGCTGTAAATGATGTACTTGTCTGAACTGGGTAGAGCACAGGACTGTTGAAACCATAATATGACAAAAAAGTAGCCAAACTCTGAACTTTTAAACAACTTTTTATTAATTTTTGCCTGTTGATAAAAAGAAGTACAGAAAAACATTGCCACTTAATATCCAGATCTTCAAATTTTTAGAGTTAAATATTAAAATTATCAAAAGTGACATGGTTTTTACATTTTTTTCCCCAGCATTGCATTTCCAACCCAAACAACATTCCAGAGTGGGCAGCAATGTATTACTTCCCTAGTAGGTGCTGCCTTTGTGCTATCAGACTATAACTGGGGTAACCCCATGCACAAATGACAGTGATAAAGCCCTGATTTGTTATGTTGTAATTATCACGCAATTCTGTATAAATAATTACTTTGGTAGGTACTTTAAATCTTCCAAATGGGAAGAAAATATAATCAATATGATGTTTCCTTTAAGCCTTTAATTTATAAGCCTTGTCTTTTAGGTATTAGAGGCCAAAACTAAGAAAACCTGAAATTCTGTATTCAGGAAGAAAACAGTAGAAGAAATGTACACTGTATTCTTTTCAAAACCAGTGCAGGAACAGTGAAGATTTTTGTAGAGAGGTTTTAATTTGCATTTATGACAGCATGATACATATGTAGCAAAAATTGAATTTATACAAGCAACACAGTCCAGAGCTATCTCTGCAACACATTAAAATATATGAAGAGCATATGTTGCATCACAACAGAGGTTTTAAATGAACCTTGGAAGCCTGTATCTTAAGACAGCTTATAAAATCACCTGGTCTTAGAGAAACTGAAGGCCACCTAGCCTCTCCCTTTTTCTGTGTTCTAGTCTAAGTATGTAAACATAGTCCCCATGAAGAAGTACTTGAATCTCAGCCCCTGACGCTGCCCTGGTAAGATCTTGAAAGCATATTCTACCAGTTTTGGTCACTGCACTCTCACCAAAAAGGTTCAATTCCATCTGAAAGTGTCCAGAGAGCAGCAACAAGGATGGTTGCAGAAGCTCTAGCAATGACTGAGAGTAAAAGATAAAGAGCTCTGAAATTCTGCGGAAATATATAACAAAAATTCTTACATATGTGAAGCATTGCTGCAGGAAAAAAGCTCTTCCTCATTCCTGCCTATGTGCAGAAGAAAAAAAGTATATAAATAGCAGCAAAATAAAAGTAAATTAGACATGAGAATTTTATTTTTTTTTTGTAGGGAAGATAATGAAACAGTGCAACACATTTAAGAGATGTGTGGTATCTTCAAATATAACACATTTTCAAATGTAAACTTGCCAACAGTTGCTTAGTTGTAGTCTTGCTGTAGTTCTGTTGCTCTAGAGACATAAGACAAGATTTGTGGAATGAAGTAATATATTTTATGAGATCAACTGATACAGCTGGAAGATAGACAGAAGCTTTCAGGCACGTCATCCTTCTTAGGATCTAAAGAAGCATCTGATCTCAAGAGCTTATGTGCCTTAAAGTCTGTGTATTTTTTTCCAGCTGTTTTAGACAGTTTAATGACTATAAGAGAGTGTCTTAACTCTGGCAGATTCCATTTTAGATTTGGGCAACATCTTGAGGACCTTTTTAGCTCAATTTTTTAACATTCTCTGATCTGTTTAGCATATCTAAATTAAGCACTGTGCTATATCCTGACAGATTAGGAGACTTTGAATCTTCATCTAGATGTGCATGATGGATGAATAAGTGTTTGCAGGGAAGACCCTTTGATGTACAATGAATTGTATTCTTGTCTTACAAAAAGTATTGTGGTGTTTCTGGAAAATTTTGGGCATCAATTTTTAAAGATCTTTGGGTGAATTAATTTAAAAATCTAAATAATTCAAAAGCTTTTGATTGTACCAGTCACTCAGGGTTTGACTTCCAAAATTATTTTAAAAGTTACTTTTCTGCTACTTTCTTAGACTTAATTATGGCATTTTTAATTCAACAATTTGTGAATTTTGTGTAGTGATTTTAAAGATTGATTTGCCTCATTTCTAAAAGTCTTTCAGTTTGAAAAAGAGCGACATAAAATATACTAAACAAGTTTAAAGGCACATCTTATAAAGTGCCTGCTAGATGCTGCTTTTGATCATCATAAAAAATGTAACATTTAATGCAGCAAAAATTACTTTTATTAACTTAATTCAAATCACAGTCACCCAGAAAATTGTTACAGATTCTCTGCAGATGCAATAGAGATATTAAATCCAGTAAAATATTTTATAAAATTATATTTGTATAGCTTACAAGATTCTGTGTTGTAGTAATTTGATTTAAGCATCATGCTATCATAAGAAAACAGATTAACTTTTCCAGGTATAGATGTGTATTGCTGTAGACTAGAGCCAATGGCTTGAAAGAGAAATGAAGAAAGTTGTATGAGTAGTTAGTGAAGATTAACTAGCAGAGAATTAAGATTCTTTATATATTGGATTATTTCCCACACTGCAGTCTGTGGAAAGCTATTCCTTGTGTATCAAGAATCTCTCTACATGTACTCACTTCTTTCCACTCTAAAAGAAAACACATGGTTCTTGCACTGAACTCCACATTCAGATATTCTGTGTTAAACAAAGGACACAAACATTTCCTTAATTCCACAAAGTCAAATGTTTTCCTACGTGTTTCTAAGTCATTTCCATCTCACTAACTTGTCTTTCCAATTCAGTTTGCCTTGCAGTGTGGAAGAATCATCACATGCGGACCGTTACCAACTATTTCATAGTGAATCTTTCTCTGGCTGACATTCTGGTCACAATTACTTGTCTTCCAGCAACTTTGGTTGTGGACATCACAGAAACGTGGTTCTTTGGGCAGACCCTCTGTAAAGTGATTCCCTACTTACAGGTATTATTTTTCTGTTTGTGTACACATTATCCATGTTATGAAAACCATCTTCCTAATACTTCTTATCCAATGGAAGTCCATACCTGATACTGAGTAGGTATCTCAGAGTACATGCTGAGGTCTAAAAGACTGTTCCACTCGGGAATATGATTATGCATAATAAAGACTGGTTTTCATCCATCTGATTGTTGGACTTTGGCAATGCACCTTTTGGGATATTTTTCAGATGCTCTTTAATTTTGTGATATTTTTAATGATTCAGAAGAGATGTAAAGCAATAAAAATATCTGTAAATAGAAATAAAGTCATTAATATTCTCTCTGTGTGGATCTGAACAGCTACACAAATGTCCAGAACATAGAATCCAGCTTCTGAAAGCAGTATGGGATTTTTTTATGTTTACTGGGTTTGTGTCAAAGTATCCAGGTTCACTGGGACTTGTTCAGCTTGTCTGTCTTAAGCAATAATTGCTTCTCATTTACCCTTGGATGTAACTAGTTTTGAAATAATTTGCATCAAAATGATTGATAAATACCTTTTCTAAGAATAGGTGTATGGATGAACTGACTGGGTAAACTAGAATGACAAGTGCTTGGCGTTGTAGTCATTAAAATTCAGAAGAATTAAGCGGTACTCAGAGTGTGTGCAGATCATCAGCTCTGTGCCTCCAGCACAATTTATATTTGCAGAAGATACCTCAATGGCCAAAGAATCATATTGCCAAGGGCGAAGTTCTCCAGCAGCTATGAGCTCTGCTTGATACAATCAAAATCACAACTTTTTTTTTTTTCAAAACCTCCATTCTAGTGAAAGAAAATCTGAAGACTGAGTGATCACCAAGCATACAAATTCAAACAATAAAACTGAAGTGATAGGTTATTTCCTTTACTGAATAAAAGGTAAATGTCTTAGTCTGCTTTAAGCTGATTGTTGTCAAGGACTTTTGAATGAAATCCTGAGTTTCAATGTTCTTGTAAAAATAAAAAGCAAAATGATGGCTCCAGTATGGTAATATAACACAGAAACCAACAAATATTTTTTTGACAAAGAAAAAAAAGATAAAATTCACTGTCTAATGTTCTACAAGCTTTTTTCAGATAAAGTTTTATACATTCCCAGTTGATGAAATTTTCTATTTCAAAATTTGATTTTGCAACACCTATTCTGTTTAGTTAGCATCTTAATGTGTGAACTGTCTTGGGGATTCTGGTAGGAGTACAGCAGATGAGGATATCTGTTGTAATTCTGTAAGAAGTTATTTTAAAAGGAGTCTTTGTTCTGGGAGTCTGTTTAACAGTTGCAGATAAAGAACTAACTATGCTGAAAATATAAATAATTTTTAAAACTCTGGTGGGAAAGTATGATAAATAAATTTTGAAACTCTAGGTAAAAACCCTACATTTACATTTATATAATATTCCTTTTTCTTCAGACAGTTTCAGTGTCTGTGTCTGTCCTAACACTCAGCTGCATTGCTTTGGATCGATGGTATGCAATTTGTCACCCTTTGATGTTTAAAAGCACAGCCAAGCGAGCAAGGAACAGCATTATAATTATCTGGATTGTGTCCTGCATCATAATGATTCCTCAGGCTATTGTTATGAAGTGCAGCAGTGTGTTCCCAGGATTAGCCAATAAAACCACCTTGTTCACAGTGTGTGATGAGCACTGGGGAGGTGAGTCTGTCATTGACCGTACAAACTGACTTTGTATTGCTATAAAGTAATCAAAATATCAGGAGGTGTTAAATAAAGTAAACAAAATATCAGGAGATGTTAATATGAAGTCAAGTCGTATAAACATAATACAAAATGTTCTTGATTATATAAGCTTTCCTGAAACTATCATTTTTCAAATTTTGTGAAATTTCTGTGAATTTCTTTTGTGTTATTGAGGCATAAAATACATTTTAAATGAAGTTTAAATGAATGAGGCTGACTAGTGTCTTGACCATGTTAATGCTTCCCAGAGGGTAGAAATGTTCCCACCCTTCAATGCTTATGCTTATATAATTCTGTGACTGATGTACACTGAAGGTTGACAAAGACTTCAGTACTTAGTACTTTCAGTACTTAGCCTTAAGAAGTAACTGTGGAAGAACAGATTTTTCTATTTACCTGATATTTTGCTAATTTTTGGCCTTTGACTAGTGTTTATAGGTATCTCCTGGGAGATTCAATGCAAATTACATGTCATTGCAGAATTTGCAGAGATGTCATCGATAGAGGGTAGTGAGTTAATCTAAAATTTGAAATTTGTCATTGACAAAATAATTTAAATAACTTTGTGAAAGTCATCAGTTACGAATTAATCTATACAAGAAGCGTAACCCTGCCATTCCAGATTAACTTTGAATCTAACATGTTGTGTCTGACTGAAGCTGTGAGAAGCTGTAAGGATTGCCAGGGAGTAACTACTTCTATTTTGTCTTCGTTCACAGCAAGTGGTGTGAGCCACCCACCCGAGTGCCTAGGGCTCGACTCTGGTGGGCCTTGGCACACCTCCAAAGCTAACAGAGTGCATGAGTTACATGCTGTGCCTCTGACACTGGATATAATGGCCATCAGTAATACCATTCTTCACACGCAAGAAAATAAAGCCAAGTTTGCCAAAACACATAACTAAAAGGTGCCTGTTTAATAGCCTTGAGTCTGGCTGAAACACAATCAGATATTCTCCCAGAGCTGTCTCTGTAGAAGAAGATTCCAGTCCTGTCAGCAGTTGTGATAAAATACAACTGGCTCACCTGTGCTTAATTATCATGATAAATTAGCTTAAACATCCTGAACTGCTGAGGGCTCTTCCATGTGCTGTTCTGGAAGTTCCTTTCCTGCTAATGGCTTTCACAGAGCCACCAGAGGATTAATGAGAAGACACTGGGTATCACATTCCCTGTTCTTTATCTCCTTCATCCCAGTTAGTCCTCTGGGACAAGGCAAGGGGGCAGAGGTGGCCACCAACTCACTGGTACTCACTGCTGACAAAGGTGTGCTCTAAGTTCGTGGCTGAGAGGAAGCCTCTGTTAAGCTGTATTGTACTTAGTGTCTCATTGGAGGGCACAAATCTGCTCTTTACTTCTGGTATTCTTCCTTCATCTGTGAAAAATTGTGTATCCCCTGCTTCAGGATACTGCAGTAGTTATGTGAGTATTTTCTTTCACAGCATTCATTCCAAGTACAATTTTTGTCCACTCATTTTAGTGCAGAAGCAATTATTCATGCCTTCATCACTTCAGGGTTAACTCTGCAGCAAAGATTCTTTTAATCTCAGCCTAGGAAATGATGTGATTAATTAATTAGGAAGTCAAGACAGCATTTCGTCAGGTAATCTCAGAATTTCCAGATCTGTATTGGCCACTTTTTGATTCCCAATGGAAAAGTGCTGCTTTTGAACTACAGAGTCTGTAGTAGGTTTAGAACTATTTTAAAGATTGCCTCTTGTTCAGTTGTGCTGAAGTAGTTGCAGCCTGAGATGAAGCACCCACTATACAAAAAAACCTCAACAAGAAACAACCAATCCAAACTCCCATGTGCTTGCAAGCCTCTTCTCCTATGCAGTGTAATTGTCTAAATTTAAACCTACTGGTCTTCAGGTGATGATGTGAGCCTTCACTTGTGTTTGGAGAGATGGAGGAATAGAATGTCTGTGTAGAATCAGTTTTTTGTGTCTGGCTTCAGAAAGGGAGTACAAACACTACAATTTTTTAAAAATTATTATTTATATTGAGCATGAAAATAATAATTTTATATTAAAAAGTTTTCTGAAATGGGAAGATTTTCACTTCACTGAAAGATAACAATCCTATTCTTATCTTGCTGCCTTTTTAATGAATAATTCTTCTAATGGCAATACACCATCATTGCTAGTTATTCTGCTGTTACATTTCAGATATCCTTAAAAAAATCTCCATGTTCTAATAATAGCTTATCATAGTAACTTGAAAGAAGAATCTTTATATGCATTAAATTATGAGCAGATTTCTCAAAATTGTGGAATTTTCTAGTAAAAGTAGAGCTAACTGTGTTTTATCAATGAGGATTATATATATATATCTCATTCAGACTATAGTGAATAGAGTGTAATTTAAAAATAATTTCCATTCTCTTGAAAGTTTCTAAGGTTTCTGATTTAGTTCAAAGCATAGAATATGCAGTTTTTCTACTGAAAAATAGGGTTGGAAATCATGAAGGCTCACAAAAAGAAGAACAGAAGAAAAGGGTAAGGCAGTGGTTTGAAAAGAGTGATGAGAAGAAGAAATAAAAAGCTAATATTTTAGAGAAAATAGCTACATTTTGGTTGGATTTTGTTTTGCCTCTTTTGATTATGCAAATATAGAAAGTCAAAGAAAGAGCTCTAGGAGGATGTTGAAGGAGAAAGAAATTAATGCTGCTACAAATAACCCATATTTGCAAAGAGAAAGTGGAGATGTAGATGTTGCATACACTCAGAGACCCTGAGAAAGTCCTATAGGAAAGTCAAATTTCAGAAAGGGATTGCATTTTGGGTGTTTATTGCTTTGCTTAGAACTGCATACAATTAATGCTGTCTAAAATTACAGTACATCTGATAAAATCTTTGCAGAATATAATGTACATCATATGTTCTGAGGATGTTAAACTCTGAATGTTAAAGACTGGGACTGCAAAAAGAGGATGCTCAATAACACTTTCCAAAGTGTTTTGGAAGTCTATTGTAATTCTGGGACCCCAGGGCCATTGAAGCATGAGGTGCTATGGAAGAGTAACTGGAAGTCATGTCCAGGAAGACGTCAGAGATGCCAAAGCAGGAGACAACACTGTACCCTACACAGACTTTTAGGACCAGCTGCTGGAGACCACAAAAGTCTGAGGGGTGTCTGGAGGGAAGGTCTGATCAGTGCTGTGACACTTGGGCTCCTCAGTGGTGAACAAATAGTCGCCACCCTGACTAATAAGATTTGAGCATGCTGTTGGAAAGCTGCCAGTGACTGCAAATGGAGCAATAGTTCAGCCTAAAACAGGGCTCAATTTCTTTATAATTGCTTCTGGCATTTCTGAATGTAAAATTCATTGCCAATTCTAGGCTGAGGGTTTTTCATCTTGAGTGCTGTCTAATAACAATATTTTATTTGGGAATGCAGAAGGATCCAACATGTGACCTATGCAGGCTCACTTAAGGAGCCAGAGTTGGCTACAGCTTTATAATAGTCTGTAATTGCTGTGCTGAATTTGATGATAAAGTGCCAAAATAAAAGAAATGTATATTAAAATGAGTTCACCATGTGTCCAAGTCAGCTAAGTACATTGTCTTAGAGCTGTTCAGGAAGAGAGTGTTAGCCAAAGTGCATTAGCCAAGCCCTTTGCAAATGATAAAAAGAATATGGAGATAATTCTTTCCCAAAACTGCATGGCTCAATGGAAACAAAGGGAAGACTTTTTGTTCCTTTTCCTCTTAGACTATTCATACAATAGTACAAAACCACATTGTCTTAATTCTGGAAAACAAATAGCTGGAAATTGCAGTACTACAAGAAGATTTATACATCCTGTTTATCAAAGTGTTCAGAATTTAATGAAAAACTCGTGGGATATTTTAATGTAGAAGGAAGTCAGAATATTTCTAATACTAAAAGTATGCTGGGTGTTATTGTAAGTTGCTAACTCAAGCACAATATATTAGGTTTCAAGTTTTAATTTTAGTATTAGCTCACCCTAAGTGCCTTGACATAGGAACTTAGCTTGGAAACACTGCATTATGTGTTTGATTTTTTTTGTCCTATGGGCACCCACTTCATAACATCCCTAATTATTAAGCTTTATTTTCAAAATATACACTTATAGTTGCATTGCTTCTCTATGTTGGTAACTCCAGAACCTCACAGGTTTCTTCTTGAGAGTAGGGAACCTGGGAACTCTACTGATGCTCAACAAACTTGACAGTCCTGTTTTTCCCTAGTCTTAAGGAAGCTGTCAGGAGTACCAATTTCATTAAGCACTATGGCTAGAGGGACTATTTAATTTGCTAGACATATCAAAACGTTTTGAGTGTTTATTTCAGTGTTTCAATTTGATTAAATATGTGTATGTATACATGTATGTATATATGTATTTACAGAAATATAGTAAAATTTTGGCAAAAATCCAGAAGCCGTAGTTTCAATCTACCAATTTCAGGCTGGGACTGGAAGACCACATGGAGAGGAAAGCTCTAGAAAATTTTAATATGCTTAATAACCCCTGCAGTAGACAGAGGAAAGCTTGTTTTACCAAACCGATTCTTTATCAGGTGGGGCAATTACAGTGTGTGAATGAAGATGAGTAGAAATTCTGACCTGAATCCAGTCCAACTGCTATGACCACCTGTTTGCTTTATGTTTTATTCTCTCTTTTCAATAGAATAGCAGCCAGAGACATGAGAGTCATTGTTTATTCTTAAAGAGGTGGCTACTCCAGCTAAGAACAATCTTACCCTGTCCTGAAGTCCATTACATGACCATAGAAGGCAAGAACACTTTTCTCTTCTTCTGCTTGGCAGGCAGAGTTTCAGTCAGGCAGGACCACAGACTGATTGATGTTTGCATTCAAGGAGCCTGGAACTCACTTGATAAATGAATAGTATCCTTAGCCAGCCCTCCTCCTTGCTGCTGTGATTGTCAAACAGCTTTAAAGCTTTTCTTTGGCTTAAGAAGCTAAACAGAGTCATGTTTCTTAGGGAAAAGTTCTGCAAAGGGCTTTGCCCTGGGTGGAGGAGGGACAGGTTTCCTTTGATGTTTAGCAGCTGGCACTTTCCAGGTGGCTAAACTTCAAAGGCAAGTGTTAGGATCTTCCTCCAACCTGGTCCTCAGTTCTTTGTAGATAGCTAGGCTCATTTAATGTTTTACTTTACTTGGAATGCTAAATTGGAAGTCATAAACTCCAGATGGCCTTTTAAATATGTACCGTCCTTCTACCTGAAAGGGGCCCGGCTGCCGGCAGAGCATTGATGAGGCAGGTGGCACCTCCTCCTGAGCACAAAGAATGTACTTTCAATTCTGACCTCCTGTGATCCCAGTAAGTCATGTTTCTCCAGTTTCTCCTTAATCTCTCCACCTGTGAAGCCTGCATGTCAATACTTCCCTGGCGAGCAGGACTGCTGTGAGGCTGCATTTTCTGGAATGCAAAAGCAAGTTTGAGATCATCAATCAACATATAATCTCAGGTTAACGCCAATTCTAAAAAACCTGCCCCAAATGGTCTGGCTCCCCCAGGGCCATTGACAAGAGTTAGTAGCTGCAGCTGCTAGTTAGGAGCTGGCAAGCAGGTTTGCTACAGGATCTTGGAGCAAGTAAGAAGTCAAATACTACTCATCTGAATTTTTTGAACCCCGATCTATCAAAACTATCAAGTGTCAGTGGCAGCATCTCTATTACCTTTGCTGGAAATGAACATTGGCTGGATTTTGCTGTAGCAAGTTTCCATCTCCTTGATACTGAACATTTTCTCGGTGTCATCAGGCACTTTCAGGTCCAATGGCAAGTGTGAGATTACTTGAGTCTGCATTTGAGAGTGAGCCTGGAATTTACACTATGGTGTTCTCCTCCCTGCTATGAGAATTGTGGGGCAAGTCTTTCTATATCTTTGTCTGAACAAGCTCTGAAATTCTCCTGACATGCACTTCTTTGATAGGGTCCACATTCTCAGTCACTTTAATAGGCAGAAAATAATTTTGAGGCACCAAAGTTTTGATCTCATGCAACTCTTTTTTTTTTTCTTTTCTTTTTCCCTCTTTTTTCTTTTTTTTTAAGCAACTCTTTTTTTTTTTTCTTTTCTTTTTTCCCCTCTTTTTTCTTTTTTTTTTAACTTTTCTTTTTTATTTTTAGTTTTAAAAGAAATCAATACAGGATTTCACTTGCAGATCTTATCATCCTGAAACATTTGGGAATTCTGGAAATTAACATAAAATTTCCTTCTTTATCCAAGATGCAATGCTTAGGATTACCTTGCAATTTAATAGTTCATGGGGTGCAGTTTCTCTTCTACTATGTGTTGTTACTGTCCAAAATATTCATTCATTTTCTGAGGCCATCCACAGATGTTAAGTTGTAATTAATACCAACAATTGGTAATAGCAAATTGCATTTAATGTTACAAAACAGAAGACAAGTTTTCAGGCACTGCACATTCTGGTGTAAACTACTGATGGAGCTTAAGATACAGCATTCTTAAAAATCAATACACTCACAGCACTTCTAAGATGTTTTCTCTAAGCAAATAAAATTCATAAGTTGTCTTTTGAAAATATATACATGGGAAATTAGAACACAACACTACCAAACTCATCATAGTTAAATCTGAGTTTAAAAACATCTTGGAGATTTCCTAGGTTTGAAGCGCTTGAATGAATTGATTCTATTTTAAAAATTAAATCATAATAATTAATTACTGCATCTTAATCAGATTTATTCTGCCACCAATGAGTGATTTATGAAATGTGTTCTCTCCTCCTCCCATCAGTGTCCTGTGTGCTGTAGTTTGCAGTTGCAGTCTTTGTAGGAGAGGGATTGTTCAGTTTACTCAGGGATATATAGTAGCCTTTGCAGAATTAAAACTAATGACACTTACACAACCTTTCAATATGCCAAGGATGAGATAGGTTGGCTGACTACCTACCTATTTTTAGATAGCAAAATTTTTCATTTTTATATAACAAAATTAATCCATCACTGTTTTAACAAAATAAAACTTCTTAAGACTCTGTACATAAAGTAATAAGATGATAAGAAATCAGTAATGTGATATAGGACATCCTTGAGATAAAAATCATGTTTATAGTAGAATGTATCTAGAAGTGATTAAAAAAACAATCTTGACCATAATATTATTTGGTACATCTTCCTGTTATGTTGAAAAATACATGCATATCTATATGAATAATTTTTCTTAAGGTGATTTTGAAATGAATGTATATTTAAATGCACCTTTCCTATTTGAATTCTCTTTCCAGCTGAGGTTTACCCCAAAATGTATCACACGTGCTTTTTTCTGGTGACATACATGGCACCACTGTGTCTTATGGTGTTGGCCTATTTGCAAATATTCCGGAAGCTGTGGTGTCGCCAGGTAAGTCACTTAGCTCTGGCTCTGTTTAATTGCTCTTCCAGCTTTGTGCAGATTCCCATGGACAACCTCTTCCTTTATAAACTCCATTTTGTCACCTAGGACTTTGCTTTTTATATCCATGCAGGTGTACAGCCACCTTGGATAGGCATTGAGATGTATTGAAAAATTAAGGCAGTCAGAAAGTGAACAGCTTTCTCATGTCTGTGAAGGGCTTTCTTTTGGAAAGAAAGCAAAAGACATCAGAAAAATTGATTATCGGTAGAAGGAAAATCTCTCTCACTGTATCTGAAATGTTTGCCAAAATACCTTAGGTGACTTTATTTATACTGCTAAAATCTCCTGTAGCAGTCAAAATTAAAGAAAGACCTTCTAATTTTGTTAGTTTTATTTTTACTTTTCTTAGTTGATGGCAGGTCCAATCTGAATGAAATGTAAACTAGAAGGTCCAGCTATCAGTAGTGGGAGACTGGAATTGCCTGATGTGAAGCTGGCTGTTACCGATAACATTTATTGTGAATTGATGACAAATCATTGACACAATTTCTAATGTGAACATCTTTTTTTTCAAGATTCAAATAGAAAATAGAGGCAAGAAAACAAGAAATAATGCAAGATATTCCTTCTCAAGTGGCTCTAACATAGTTCATATTTTCATCAACATATGGGCATGAATGACCTCTCTCACCAGCATGTTTGATACCATCCAATTCTGAGGCTGTCCTGGGCAGGGGAAAATACCTGCCCCATCAGGAACATTTTTCATGCAGTTCACAATGATTCATCAGAAAAATCACAAATAGACTTTGTATTTCTAAACATGCATATGATTAAAAATCAAATCTTATACTGACAGAATATATCTCTCGCAAGTAGCTCATAAATGGGAAATATCAAATCCACTTTAAGGCTTTTTGTTATTGTCCATAAGTCATAAGAGCAATTTTTGTCACTTCTAATCAGATTAGGTTAAAGCAGAATTGCTGTTTATCCTGCTTGTCAGCTTTAAATTATTATTTTTGCTTTTAATTTCTTAGATTGATAAGATTAAATAAAAGATGGCTTGGAGATAAAATTTAACCTTTACAGTTTGAGGAGACTCTTCTCCAGAGCAAAGGATTTCTTGCTTAGTTTTGTTATTAAGTTCAGTCTAAACATAGTTCTAATATGCTCTGCCTTGCAGAATCTGTCCTGTATCACCCAATGATTTTATCACCATAATTCTTCTCAGCCTTCTCTTTTATACCTTCTTTACAATCTGCCTACCCTCTCAAGCTCTTCATTAACTAAGTTAATGCAAAGCAATTGTTTTTAACTTACACATGGTTGAAATTGCTGGCTCAGATGCAGAGCAGAAGTTGAATGACTGAAAACCAACCTTTTCTTTTGGGTTCCCCCCACCTCCACTCCCCAGTTGTTTTAGCTGGTCTATTTGCTCTTCACAATGTTTCTTCTCCCTATCCATGTTGCACAGCGGCAAGGTTAGGATGATCCTTTGTTTTTCAGTGGTAAAAAGAGAAATTCTACTACAGGCTTAGTGCTATCAGTGGTGCCAAATTACAGCTGTCTCTGCCTGGCCTAGATGATAGCACTATGTATAAGAGGCTGTGCTAAGTGAAATTAAAACCACTGCACATCTATTATCAACAGTGACTTGGCTGCAGGCATCAGGCACTTTTCTAAGTGCAGCAGGTGTGCTCTAATCAGTCGTGTAGCACAAATGAATGAAGTGCTCTAAAAGTGTTCTTTGGTAACAGTTTCAATAAAAAATCATGCTGTTTACCAGAAATTCAGTTAAATACGGTGATCTTTTTGCAAGGTACAATGAGCCTTTCAGATGTGCATGATAGAATAAACACAACTAACATGTTTTCTATGCCCTACATTTTTTCTAAAGGTTATTTTTTAAAATGTAGTGTGTTGTGCATGCAAATTTTCAGATGACAAATAGAAGACTGAATTACAAGTTATTGTTGCCCTACTTTCTGTAATAGCTCTTAAAATTTCTGATTGTATAAGTCCAGCAAATCTTTGAATTAACAATTCACCTTCATAAAGACAAGCACAATCTTGCAAAAAATACTAGAAATTTTGAGTCATTAATTTTAATTATTACTAAGGAAATAGTAATTTAGAAGTCTATGTTCTTGTGTGGATTTTAAGATTGAAAACAGCGTCTGTACAAATAGAAATGAATGAACTGAATATGATGAAAATGTTGATACACAATTTGTAATATGAAGTTCCTAGTATGCTTCAATTTTCTGATATCCAAATGTATTGACACCAAAGCACATTTCTATTAATAATTAGGAACTTTATCCATTTTCTTTTTGGTAGTTGAAATATACCCTCCTAATCTTTGCAAGTTGATACTACGTTTGAGATATTTTCTTTGGTTATAAGCCCCTTGAAAACTATCTGAGGGGGCAGAGAAAGGTTGCATAATAAAGCAAAACTCTAAATTTTAGTACTTGTTTATTCACAGCTAATAGGCTTTTCATAAAACATCAGAATTACACAAATGGTTCAAAATTCTCTCTCTGATTGATTAATTACTGACAAGCAAATATATGCATTATGCTTCCATGTGTACACTTGTGTATACTTGTACATACAGAATCACAGAATCATAGAAACATTTATCTTGAAAAAGGCCCTTAAGGACATTGAATTCAACCATAACAACAATTGAATTCAACCATAACCACAACACTGCCAAGTCCACCATTAAACCATGTCCCTAAGTGCCACCTCTACTTATCTTTTAAATATCTTCAGGAGTGGTGACTCAGCTGCTTGCCTAGGCAGCCTGTTCCAAGGCTTGGCTACCCTTTCTGTGAAGAAATTTTTCCTTATATCCAATCTAAACCTCCTCTGGCTTAACTTGAGACCATTCCTCTCATTCTGTCACTTCTCTACTAGACCCCACAGCCAAGTCGGGTAAATCCCCTGCAATAGTACTGATGTGCAATTGTCAAGCTGGTAATTGCTGATTTTGTGCAAGGGGCTGAGTTGTTTTAAATCCATGGATACATTAGGAAAAACTAAATGTTATGTAACTTATCCCAAATTTTGCTTCATGGATTTCCTGCTCATTACATGGCAACTTTGCCAAAATGTTCCAATAGTTGTAAATCATGTCTGGTGTGTACATAAGTGCTGAACTAAGGGCTTGTCTGAAGATATTCCCACACACCTCCCCCCACCCCCAGCCAACAAATAAGTAAATAGAAAAAAAACCAAAAACCAACAAAAAAACCCCCACCCAACCCCACAAAACGCCGACATAGTAGGTTTTCTAGAACTATTCTGAATGTGCATGCTTTTTGGCTTACTTTTATCTTTCTTAAGATAAATACAAAATTTGCATAATTTTCAGGTCAGTTTGTCTGGATAAGCCCTGTTTAAAAAAAAAGTTACAATAGACAATGTGAACTTTTCTGATACTTTTGTAGTTGAAATATTTCTCATGAGATTAGTCACTCTACACACAATTGTACTACATATAAATAAATCTGTATTTCTAGCCAAAAGGTTTTCACACTGTATGACTTTGAAAATATTATAAATGTAATTGTAATAGAGTTCTGTGAGAAAGTCTTTCAAGCTTTTCTGCAGGCAGGAAGCAATTTAGAAGAACTGAAGCAAACTTGTTTTACTTGGCTTGTCTTATGTGAGGGCACAGAAAACAAAAAATCCTTTTTTTTTTAATAGCATGGTCCTACATGCAACTCATTGCAACATGTCTTTGACTAATCTAAATCTTCCTGTATCTTGGCACTTTTCCATGATTTCCCTCAGTTTAGAAGAACTTTGCAGAGAGATTCACACTTCAGCTGTGATTATTTCTTTAGCTACTTCATTGTCATATAGGTTGCATACATGAAAGTTTTATGGCACTTAAAGCTATGCAGGCTTTAAATCCTTGTTTTCCAGTGCTGAAAAACTGTTTATTATTATATATTAGCAGCATATTAATGGGAAAAAATACTCTGCTATACAACAAAACATTTAATGTAGAACTTCATAGCAACGTAATTGCAGCAATAGGGTTGGTAATTTTGATTGTCTGAAGATGCAGGCAAGGTATGTGGGAAGTAAAGAAAATTTGAGGAAATCAGTTGATATCTGTGTATAAAACACATTTTTTATGCAGTCTCTCTTGTGTGTCTGAAATTCAATTTGTTTTCTGCAGCTACATCAATTAAATTAATTAAAAAAATCCTTTTTATCCCTGTGAGCTTACATTGTGTATGTCAAGGTGTCTATTTTTCTTGTTATATCTGCAGACAGAATCGGGTTTTTTAAATGTTTTTCAAATCCCCTTCATTTTGTTTGCCTTAGATCCCAGGAACTTCTTCTGTTGTTCAGAAGAAATGGAAGCCTCAGCAGCCTTCAGCACAGCCCCGAGGGCTGGGACAATCAACAAAGTCAAAGATTAGTGCTGTGGCAGCTGAAATAAAACAGATTCGTGCAAGAAGGAAAACAGCACGTATGCTAATGGTTGTCCTTCTGGTTTTTGCACTTTGCTACCTACCAATTAGCATCCTTAATGTCTTGAAAAGGTAAAGTTTATCTCAAAATATAAACACTTGGTAAAGCTGTCTAAAAACAGAATTCTCTGTTACAAGATTCCTTTTATTCTGACAGATACTTTTGAAGGATAAGCTTACTTATTGATTCATAAAGAAGTGGAAAATAAGTGTACCATTGCAAGAAAATATTATATATAATATATATATGTGTATACATAACCTATCCATAGTACTTAAACTAGAGGCCTGATTATGGAACTCTTATTAACAAGATCTTCCTCATGAAAATGATCTAACCTATCTCCTCATTAAACCTCATCATTTACATGGCATTACAGCTTGTTTGCTGTAAATGCCCCCATGGAAGTGCAGTCACCTAAAGCAGCAGCTGAAGGTTAGCAGCAGAGTGCAGTGTTGTGGCTTGGCTCCAAAGGCTGTGAAATGTTGAGTTCAAACCTAAGCTACTCATGTACAGTTTGGAGACCATAGACTAACCTTTCCATTGGTCCTGTGAAGCTGTATTTTAATTATTTATCTTTTTCTCTCTGTGCATTTCGTATGTAATTGTGTACACTCTTGGTTTTTGTACAGTGCCTGAAAGACTTTGGTAAAGTTACATCTCATAAACCCTCTGGAATACCAATAAATAATGGCACATAGCAGAAAATTTGAATATCCTAACAATAATGAGCATGTTATTGGTGCTTTTATAATTGGAGTGTTATTGGAACATTTTAGTTTTTAAGGGATAGTTTCAAAGTTTAAATACATCCCACTCAATTCTGGCCCTCCCCTGAGGTCTAATTGAAATAGTTTTCATTCTCAAATCCCTTTGTAGAAAATTTAGAGAGAAAACTATTTCCAGAAAATGGTTCATGCCACCTACAATATGAAACAGAGGAAATACACTGGCTGCCTCAACAACAATAGCAGAGTAGGCACAGAGTTAGATTTTCATTTAAATGTCAGAAGTAACATGTAAAGAGTCTGGGAAATGCAGATTTCCCTGGAGGACAGAAGCTGCTATGGCAGCCTCAGGTTTGGAGCCAGTTTGATGCCTTTCCAATTCCAGAGATATTTGGAGAGTAGCCTAGAGAGTGTCTTGGAGAGTGAGCCGACAGCCAGGAAGCTCAGTGACATAAGTACATCAAAAGCAGCTTGTCCTGTCTTTCCTTGGCTTATCTGACACCAGATGACCTTAGTTGCTTGGCAGAAAAATTGTGCATCTTCACCATAGTAAAGTCTCAGTTGTGCCACACTACCAAGACAGGAGGCTGAGGGCTGGGGAGAGGATTTCTTTCTCTCAAGTGAGAGAGCACTGCTGAATCAGCCTTTTTGTGATACTGCAAATAGATCATCAGAGATAAAACCAGGCCAGAAGTTGTAAAATCTTTTTAAATGAATTCTACTTTTGCCGTCTTTCAGGTTTGCTTTTCTCTTTCTGTAGGGTTTTGGGGATGTTTAATCATGCTGATGACAGAGAAACTGTATATGCCTGGTTCACATTCTCACACTGGCTTGTATACGCAAACAGTGCAGCCAATCCGATCATTTATAACTTCCTCAGTGGTAAGTTACTGTTGCCTGGAATTCAAGTTCAATGTATAATTTGAATGTAATGAACCATAGCAAAAATTAATAACCGTGTAACTTCAGCTCAGCTCCTCCAGTGGGAGCTAGATCCTCTTGCTAGAAGTTGCCTGAAGTATCCCATTACCCTCAGGCTGTCTACCAATGAGTAACCTGGAGTGTGCCAGGGCCTGACTCCAAGTGCTAGAATGTGACATTAATGTGGTAGAGAAGTTCCTGGCATGACTTTGATGTGAAGCAATTACCATTCCTCTAAACAGTCCTGGATGCTCTCTGGCAGGTAGCACAGTCCGGGGGCTGTCCCCAGCTGGTGTGCTGCATTCAAGTGTTGGGATTTGGAGGCTCTGAGTCTTTAATAGTACCTGCATGGCCAGACAGTGCCAAGTAGGGTCAACTTCAAAGAACCAGCCAGCATGCTGTTTACTTACTAGTATAGATTTGTCTTAGTCTATATTTGTGTCATTTGGCTTGGAGAGCAGAATCAGTACCTAATCTAGTAGTATTGCAGCTAAATACAGGGAGGAAAAACTCTGTTGGATCCTCACTACATATTGGCTTGCTGTAGTGTTTTGTGATGTCTAGTATGAGAATGATCTGAACAATTTCCTCTGAGCCCCAAAAGCAGGGGATTGTCAAACATTGTGAATCTTCTTTTAAAATATATTAATGATAAAACATAAATAAGCTATGCTCTCTCATTTCACATATTAAGTCAGGATTCAATTATTCAAGCCTATATTTACTCAATTATTTTTGTTGTTACAGATGTAAATAATCAGCAGACTATCTATGAGGTTGTTTCTTTAATCTTCCTAGTTTGTCCATTCTGCCTAGCCAAGAATAATTCTGTCTTCACATCACACCTCACATGTCTTCTTAGAAAGGTTGTCTTTTTCCTGTCTTTATCCAAGATGATTAAACTGTCATTTTCTCCTTCTGCATTAGAAGAGTATCTGGGTGGTTCACATTAATTTTGCTTTAGATAACACCTTTATATCCGAATCTATAAAGTTTGATGAAATGCATTTATAGTACAATTTTTTTCATGAGTCATTTTTGTGGTTGACAGGGAAATTTAGAGAAGAATTTAAAGCAGCATTTTCCTGTTGCATCTTTGGCATTCGCAGCCACCATGACGAACGGTTCAACAGAGGTCGTGCCAGTACAGAGAGTCGGAAATCCTTGACCACCCAGATCAGCAATTTTGATAACGTTTCAAAACTTTCAGAACACGTTGTATTGACCAACATAAACACAATTCCATCAAATGGTACTGCATCTATTACCCACTGTTAGTATACTGGTCCCTATGCCTTTTGATCCCATAGAAGTAAATTCTAATTCTGCATCCATCAATACTGGGATCTAAGCACAAAGAGAGAAGGGTGTTTAAAATTAAGAACTGACTGTAAGAAAAAAAAATTAAAATAAATATTTTATAGAATATGCCATAACTTTGATTATGTAATAAGGGAAGAAAATTTCACATTTCAAGTTGTGTTGCAAATAGCTAGGGAGCAAAGCAGTCATATTTTATACAAATATTTTCTTTGGATACCTACTTATTTTAGACTCCTAAGTAAATACAGAACAAGTACCTGAAAGTATGAAAATTATTTTCCCTATCATTGGACTGTGTTTATGAACATCTGTATTCTACTCTCATTTAATTAGCTGAAGTTGTGGTATATTTTATAACAAATGTTTTAATCAAAATTGGGTGTAGAGATTGAACTACCATAATGTCCTTTACTATTTCAAATTATCTGCTTGGCATGCATTCTGGTGTGAGTTAGGCTGATCAAATAAGAAATTCATATTAATTTATTTTCCAAAATTTTTTGTTCTTTTTCATGTTAGGTAGGCTATTGCACGTGTTCAGGAACAGCTGGGAAGCCACTTTTCACTTAATGTAGAAGGAATGGGGTTTTTCATCTGAATTCAGTAATATTGCCATTCCTTTATGTACGACACAAGCAAGGTTACAAATATGAAACTCATATGACAGTGTGGCTGTAAATTATGTTTTACCCTTTGTTTCTCATTTATTCTCTTCTCTCTGTCCTCTGTTCATGGCAGAGGAGTTAGACTAGATGGTCTTTAAATGTCTCTTCAAACCCAAACTATCAATTATTCCATGACTGACTTACAAACAGGAAGCTGTGGTGCTCTGCTGGTCTGATAAGGAACCACAGGGCAATTTACTAAATAGTGCCGATTAATAAGTAGTAGAACACATAAAAATGTTGAAAAGTTTAAAAAAATAAAGATTTATGCATCAGAAAAGCCCTTAGTCTTCAGTCAAGAAACTTTACTTCAAATTTTCAAATGCAATCTGAAACATTTTCTGGAAGACCATTTTATTAATAGATTATCACAGCACAGTGTTCAGAGAGAGATAATCAGAGAGTCAGTTATCCAGCCACCTGATACAAGCAGTGAAATGATCTTAAATTCTTTATTTTATCTACAGATATCCCAGCTGTGCTCAGCCCATTGAAGTCAGCAGAACTGCATCTCCACATACCTGGGATGAACATGACTTCAAATATAGATGAAGCCATGAGGGTTTCTGCAGAAGACACTGTCAAACCAGAGAATGCAGAGTGGGATAAATTTGTCCCTAGCATAACTAAATTTACTTCGATGGAGTTACAGCAAGGATGACTTTGGCTCAATACACTACAACTGCCACAGAGTGTCACATGCTTTTAGCTGTGGTACACACTACAACTGGACAAAGGGGTTCCTTCAAAATAACTGCCTATCCTCTTTTTTCTCAGTCTTACAGAAACCTACTTACCTCAGTATGAGCTAAAGAACGTCTTTACAATTCTTTTTAAAGGTTGGATTGTATCATAGTTTGTAAATATTGTAGATATTTATTTTTATATATTTTAGATTATGTGAAATGTTCTAAAATGTATCATATAAAGAAATATAAGTATTTGAAAGAAGGCGCAAACATCATTTATTTATATTCTCTTTCTATAAATGATTGACTGATGTACAAAGAATGCTTACTTATGCACTAGTGATATTCTGGCATTAATTTGCACTTCTTTTTCTGCAAATCCACTTGTAGTAAGTTCTATGTTTATTATGGAACTTTCACTTCAGACTGATTTGGGGAGAGTCCACATTACTTTTCTAAGTACAGACCTGCTTCTAAGATGTGAATCCAAAGTGCTGAAAGTCACATATTTTCGTAAGATTACATTTAAACAGTCTTTTATTTTTTTTCAGATTTGAGTGCCTAAAAAGTAACCATTTAAATAAAACTTATGTGATGCTCAAAGGTGCTATAGGCTCAAATTTCCTGCTCAGGCCAATAAGAATAACAAGTGTCAGCACCTCTGAAGGACTGGGCATTTTAACTTTGGTAGCTCATTTTAATCCATAATGTGTAAATGTTGCTCCAGAAGATCTCTGAAAATCTTTAACATAGGAAACATTAGCTGTCTTTCATTTTCATGACTTCTCTCTCAACTGCCATTTAATACTAAAGATACAATCAATTTACAAATCTATATATCTATTTATGGGATAATCTCTCTGGCCTGGAGCTTCCTACTATGTATTGTATTTTTCTCTTTAAAGGATAAACATGGTGCATCAGTGGAGACTTAGTCTTCTAGAAGAATGTGGTCTATTTCTTAGAAAAAGTCCAATTATCTGAACCTGAGATACAATTTCCCTGTGGCACTATTCTTGTGTTTCAGTCCAGATTTTTCAAAAGAATAGATGAGAGGGAGGACTTTTGTAATAAAAGGATTTGGCATAGGAAGAAGACAGTCTCATGTATTCAAATGTTTCTATAAAGCCAATTATTAATCAACCAGGTGTTATTTGATTACCTTTTGTAAATATTTTTTCTAGGTTTTTCTTTTACCTAATGTCATGCAATGTATTATCTATCATGGCAACTATAGTTTTATGAAGTGCTCAATCACTTTATGCTTTAGCCTTCCCCAACAGCTGTTTTACTTGACATTGTTGTAATTCCTCCTAATTTACATTGGTGTTAAGTGAGAGAAAGGGATTTGCATTCATTTGGATATTAAAGTTTTCTATTTAAAGAGAAAATGGAGAATACTCTTTTTTAATTAAAAAAGAATAAAGAAAAATATCTAAATAGAAAGAATGTTTAAATATCAAATAAAATAATAGGATTTTCAATATTCCTATGTGTAAGCTTCATTTTTAAGTATAGATATTATATCAATATTATTTTAAGAAATTATTTTGCTTTGTCTCTTCTAAGAAAAATAAAACCTAAATAACTGTGGGAAGCACAGCAGGATCTGATTTCATAGCTATTGCAATTCCTTTACCATAAGAAGGCTATTTTTGTTCTTCAATTGTGGCAAATGCAACATTGTTAAAGAGTGTTGAACAAGATATATATTTTTTCTATATAATTTGAAATGATTGAATAAACACTTGCTGAATTAAAACAATACAGATATGAGAAAATGGAATTTAAAAAGTCCTCTAAGCTTTTCTTTTGTTTAGTTATAAGCAAATAAATAGTAATAAAGTTAAAAACTAGCATAGCAACCCAGCTGCAAAATAATTATCAATAATCATTTATTTAAGATAAAATATCTCAGTCCATGGTTGAAAAATGTCTATTATGCCCAAATTTGGGAAAGCCTCTATTTTTATTTCAGAAAATGTATTTTTAGCTTATCCTTGAATAAAGAGAAAGAACGTAGAAAGCAAAGGCTATTTAAGAAAACTTGGACAGCATAAGGGGAGTATGTATACTTTTCCAGCATAGAAGGTCATGGGTCAGTGTGGAAGGCCAGCAAAATTTTTATGCCTTGCCAGGTGTGTTTCCCAGATCCCTGTGAGACAAACAGAGAAGAAAAGAGTTCAGTACTCCTACCTGGGCCAGCAAAGAAAGAACGAAAATTTTCGATGTTAGTGATGCTCATGGACAAATCCTAACTGGCATCTTTCTACAGAGGAGGTGAATTCCACCTGCTGACACAATTTGTATTCTTTTTGCTGTACCTTAATTCCAGGGGGATAAATTATGTTAGCTGAGTTCGTTCTGAGGCAAGAACATCACTAAAGGTCAATGGCAGTTTCTGGAGGTGTTCTGAGCCATGTTAAAAAGGGAGATTCTGGCCTTAATTTTGTCTTTGTAAGAGAAAGCATATCTTGGTTCTCTTTTTTATTCTTTTTTATTTTCACCTAGATGTCCAGAATTAAAATGTTGCAACATTTCTAGGAATTTCTTTTAACCACAACTTTAACTTAGCAGTACTTTTTGTGTGGAGAAGATAAATAAAATATGAGACATTCATTAGCAAATGATTCTGGGTTTTCTCTGGACAATTTCTATTGAGTAAACAGCATATCTTTCAGACACAAATTGTACAATCAGATGTTATATCAGATTTTAAATTCTAAGGATAGCTAGAGAGCATTAGCTAACTTTTGCTGGAGACTGTGGCCATCAAGCTAAATATTGGTGAAATATGGTTATCAAGATAAATATCTGGTTATTTTTATGAAAAGATTTTTCATTCAAAAATAAATATTTTTGATGAAAATATTCCTATGCTTTTATTTCTTTAGTTTTACAAAATTCAAGGAATACCCTTTTTTAATTAAAATGATCACTGGGAGAAATAAACCCAACAGTGAGCAATAGCCAGAAATGGTGATAGAAATAACTGTGAGAAGAGAGTTTATAATGAATGAACATTTCTTATCCAGCATATAAATATTAAATGTTATCTAAAATCTGAGGCATCATTGGGCTTTGCTACCTCTAGCTGCTTTGTTATTCTAATATTTCCACTATTGAAATGGAGCTAAATAGAGAAACGGAGTTCTCATGCTGTTGTTTCTGCTTGTCCACAGCAACATTAAGCATGGGGTTTAAATCACAGTATATTTGTTCCTGCTGATATAAGTTCTTGTGCCACCATCATTCTGGTGCTTTGTCTCTCAATATATTTCACAGTCTTGAAGGCCTGATATCCTGACCTGTTTCTCCTTTACTGTTGTCAGTGTAGTGATAAGCTTGTGCCTTGCAGTCACAATGAATGCAAGATAACATCTCCCTGTCTCCACCTCCAAAACCACAAGGTTTTTCTTTTTTTTCTGGACTAAATAGAGAGAACCATCTCATTCTCTGACTTTAGCAAAATTGATATGTGTTATTGACCTGGAGAGTGTTTTACAGGATGGAGAATACACCAAACATTTCTTTAAGTCAGACCTCACTCAATGACATATCATAACTTACTGCTGCATATTACAATGGTTCAATGCAAAGGCAAATTTATCTTTCCAGCCTAGATTTTGTTTCACAGCTAAAATTACATTATTCTGTCAAGCCATTATTTCTACTTGACAATTAGGTTTTTCTGTGGCTGTTGGATATATTGGGTGAAGTAATATATTATTTATTGAACAATTAAAAAGCCACAAACAAATATTTGGTAATTTTGTCATTAAGATCTTACACAAATAATGCAGTTTTAAAAACTAGCTAAAAATCTGTGTAAAATAAAATAAAATGAGAAATTACAGGCAAGATCGATTTTTCCTGAACTAAGAAAAATAACCAAACTCTGGACTTCGGATCAAGTTTTTCTTTGTCAGTAGGGACAGGATTTCAAGCACTATATCTGTCTGTCTGATAGCTAAGCTGAAAATTTTATGACATCTTTTTGTTTAGGCATTTAAGGACCAAATACAGTTAAACTTTTGTGAAAATAAGATTCATGAGTAGCACGGGGAAATCAGTAGGGATCTGTTGCTTTGTCTTCCTTCCACTGCAAAAGCAAAGCACACACACTGGGGCCGGCAGGTGTGTGATTGCATCCTTTGTGGTTGACTGCTTCATTGTTAAGTACCAAGTCAGCTGCTGACTTGTATAGCAAACCGATTTTTGAGGTATTTCAGTGAAACACCTGAGGTTACACTCACAGTCCAGTCTGGGACTAGACTATAGATTAATTATTTGTCCTCCTGGTCTGCCATCCAACATATTCCAAAGGACTTCTCTCTCCTTAACGGATCAAGATTGTATTCCACATCTGAGACGAAAACAATTTCACTCCTAAAACAGGTTGAAAAGTGCTTACAGAAGTTGATAGGACATAGCAACAGGCATTTTCCAAGGAGATTACAGGCAGCAGCCAAAGACCTGCTCTGTTAGTTTCTCTGGAGATCAAATGAGAACTAAGCGCGGAGGGAGTGCCAGATCCCGTGGAAGATGCCGAAGAACTCCTGCGTGTCATCTGGCCGCGGTCCGGCTCAGCGTTTGTGGCAAGAGAAGAGATGTAAGCAGAGGGTGTGACAGAGGCAGCCGAGGCCGCTCCCGGAGGTGGGAAGCTTCATTCCCTGGCCGCAGGAGGTGGGCAGAGGCAGAGGCAGAGGCAGAGGCAGGGCGGCTGTCGGCGCTGCCCCGCCCGTGCCGCGCTCGGAGCCGCCCGGAGCGGCGNGCCCCCGCTCGGTTCCCTGCGGCCCCGCTCCGGTCCCTGCGGCCCCGCTCCGGACCTGCGGCCCCGCTCGGGCACCTGCGGCCCCGCCATGGCCGCGCTCCTCGGCCCCGGTAAGTGCTGCGGGCGGGAAGCTCCGGACCCGCGCCTCGCCCCGCGGCCCCGGTCGTCCCTTCCCTCCTTCCCTCCGCACGGCTCCTTGTCCCGCGGTCTCCAGGCGGGGGCCGGCGGTTCGCGGCGGCGGCGGCGGCTCGGCCCCAGGGCGGGGGAGCCCTGGAGCGCTGGGCGGCGGGAAGGAGCGGAGCGGCGGGGACAGCCCGGCAGGGACAGCCCGGAGGGGACACCTGGCAGGGACAGCCCAGCAGGGACAGCCCGGCAGGGACAGCCCGGCGGGGACAGCCGAACCGAACGGACAGCGGCTTGTTCTCTGGCTGGGGAGCGCTGGGCGCTGCCAGTGCTACCCACAGGGCTGCCGACACTTCCTTTGGATTTGAGTGGAGAAAAAGGAGAAATCAACAAAGCTGGTACAGAGAGATTTGGTACAGGAGAATATGATGAGACAAGGATGTTGTATGTTAATTTTTGTTATTCTCCTTTTCTCCTCACTATATACATGTACTATATGCATATATGCCGCTTCTTTTTAACACCCGAGTACTCTAAACTTATATTTCTGTGTTAAAAGTAGGTAGTTCTGCCCCAGCTTTTATTAAAATTAAGTTGTCTTTTATCACTTTTTGATTATATTGAGCTGTAGTTTGCCATTTTGCCTTCAGAGCTTGGTATCCCTCTCCTCCTGCCATTGGATAGAAACCACAGTTTGGTTTCCCCGTATTAATTATTACTTATTTGCATTATTTTAGGATTGCAGAATTGGAAAGTATAATTTCTCCATTCCTCAGTTCCCAGTCTGCAAAATGAAGGTGCTAAAATGTTTCTTTTCCTCCCTCCTTTTAACTTTATGCACCAAATTCTACAGAAAACAGAACTGTACACCTACCTAGTGAATCAATAGGCCTTTGCATAAAAATACAAAATATATCTGTAGATATTTAAATGTGTGTCTTTTGTCAATATGGACCCCTCCGAAACTTTTAGCTGCAACCTAACTCTTAAATGCCCTCAACTCTTCTATGCAGAATTACGCAGTATTCCAAACACTGGAGTAAATAAGTAAAGAGAACAACTGAAGTCATATCTGTCAGTTTAAGGAACTGCATAAGCTACAGTGCCCTGGACTCTAAAATCATATAGGACAGTTTGTTTCATGTAGGTTTCTGGCAGTGTACCCCCTCTGTGCTGCTGAGGAATCAAAGACCCATCCATAATATGTCACTAGACCTAAAGAAGCCCTTCCTTCAGCTGAAGTGCCTTAAATCATAGATTATGCTACTCACCTTTTTATTTTGCAAAAACATCACCTCCTATTTTGGGGCCAGTTTCCAGGTAGGTTCAAAATGGGCAGCAGTGTGAAATACTCCCTAAAAAGTAGCAGGAAGGCTGTGCAATCAGTCCTCTTTTGACTGTCTCAGCCATTGGTCCTTGAAAACTGCCTGAACATGAGGAAGAGAGCACAGAGGCTTTGTGCTGTAAATCCTAGTCAGATGAGTAAATCTTCTGTTGTGTAAGAACCTAAAAAATAGATAAATTCTCATCCAGCAGAATACCTTTTTTTAAATATATCTGTGGGTTTATCATTTTGTTTTGCTTTATATATGCAGTCATTTTGCCCTGTAAAGTATTTGGCAACTTTTTTTTTTTTCTGTCATCTGAATAAATAGTAATTTCAAAATAAGTAAGACATTTTGGAGACAATTCTAGGACTAAAATGTTGTCATAATAAGCCGTAATTGTCCCTATGGATAGGGCCAGCTGCACATTCCTCATGGTCAGGATGTAGGAGCTGTTCCTATCAATATGTCTTCAAGGCTGATGGACAGACACAGCCTAGGAGTGTTTCAGGCTGGAAATCACCACCAGTCCTGCCAGGAACATGCACAGCTGAGGAAGGATTAGCACCAGCTATAATAAGCACATGGGGCCTCTTTCTTGTCTCATAGGCACACTAGATGCTGTTGCACCTGTCAATTATTATGTATTAAATGTTGCTTCATATTTATCAACATGCAGCTGAAAAGTGTTCCCTGCAGCAGCATTATTATACCACTGGTAAATAATTCCCAGAAGGGATGGCATCACCTCCAAACAGCAGTGGCTCTTTAAGGTTAGCAAGAGGGATATTTGATATATAATTTCTTATTCTAAAATGTATAATTGAAAAAAGTTAATTTCTTCTGATAGGATCTGAACAAATCCTGAAGCAATATTTCATGCCTCTTGCAAATGATGTTTAAGGGATTAAACAATGCTGGAAACCACTTAAACACCACATGAACTTACCAGAACATGAGGTGGGGGGAAAAAAGTTATTTTGTCAGAGAGATGCTGTGCTCTTCAACAGCTAAAGAAAACACATTAGGTGTTCAGCAGAAACTTAATTTTGTTGAAAATAAAGACACATGATTACAAATTAGAGGTTGTCTTACCATGGGAATGTTAATGAAAGAGCTAAACTTTAGCTGATCCTTCCTTAACAAGGCAATTTAATTTTCTACTGATAAGTCACAAGCAGTGCTGCTTTAAATTTTTTTACCTTGAAACCTCCAGAACTTTTTTACGTAATTAGCAGGCTCAATGCACTCAAGAAAGCAGATGAAGACATATATGTGAGAGTTGCTTTCAAGAAATGATGCATCTGTGAAGTAAAAATAGAGTGAAGAGTACTGTATTTATAAAATAAAATCACATTTATTATCTAACAGTTGTGTATTTGTCAAATCTCTTTCACACACTCTATTAATAAGAATTCCTAAACAGCTTAGCTTGGTGAGATTTCCTGTGAATAAAGTACTGTTTCTTCTGAATTTTATACTGTCTTCCTTTCTGTAATTTATTATGGATCTCAGAATTTCTATATGCCCATGCACCAATGTCATATATAACTATGGTTACTGTTGTAATACTGGGGTAAAACCAATGCAAAATATGCCACACTGAAACTTTGAACATTTAAATTTAATTTTCTGGTTGCAAAACAGAGGAAAAGCTTTGTTCTGCTAAAATTTAATTTGCTAGCAAATTTGAATCTATAGCAAAACTATAGTAAATTATATTTTTTAAATCTATGTTTAAAGGAAAAGGGTCAGTACAGTATCTACTGCTTTAAATAGTCATTGTATTCTGTTTTTACAGTGTTGTTCATTTACTTCACATGTATATCTACTGTCCAGACTACTGACTGTCTACACTTGAGAGAGCAATGTATTAATGCTGGAAATGGATGCGAGAGAGTCTGGAATGTGGTTGAAGATGCCTGCAATATTTCAGGTAATTCTGCATGGTGTACACACCTAAATTTTGAATTGCTATATACAATTGAGTATTCATAGTTTATTACAATATTGCTGGAGTAACTAAATTAAGTCAGTAAGATTTCAAAGAGAAAAATTATGGCAAAAGACAATCAGTTTTTGAAATCCTTTACAATGGCCAATGCTACTTTTAGTGACAGTCACGCTATCTCTTCAAGAAAGTGACAAATGAATTTTCTGCACTATGAATAAAATCAGAACCTGAATCAACTCAAGAAGTCTGAATTCAGGAGAAATTAGGCTCTTGTGGAATCCTGTTAAATAAAGCTTGTGTGCAACTGGAAAAGAAATTCTGACTTTGTTTTACCCAGTTTGGAGGAGTTGATCTGCCCCCTCCCTGGCAGTGTTCAAGGCCAGGTTGCATGGAGCTTTGAGGAACCTGTTCTAGTGGAAGATGCTCCTGCCAATGGCAGAGGGGTTGAAGGTCCCTTCCAATCTAAACCATTCTATGGTTCTATAATCTAACACAAAACCCAAAACAATGTGGTAGCTACTTAGAGTAATTTTAATTATTGTATTTAAAAATTTAATTATTGTACTAAAAAAAAACAACCTACCAGCAGCATCATTAGTAAGAATAACGTTATTCTGTCATGTGAAAGAATAAGAAATAGATAAAACATTCACCTCTACTGTGAGCTACCTGAATGAATGCCTCTGTCTGATCTGTTGCAGGCATTTGATGTCCCAAATGTCCCAAGTCACAAGACATTATTTAAAATAATCAGAGTACAAAATTCTCTTAGGGATCTTTCTTAGTGTGTCCTTTTCTAGATACTAATCTACTTTGCATAGAATGGCTGAATACTTTTAAAAACAGATGAAGTAAATGAAAAGTACATGGTAATGTAACAGTTAGAACAGTTCCCAAAGCAGCTGGGCTTCAGCCTATGTTCTATTGATTTGTTTCATGTGAAACAAAACAGTTTCAAAAGATATGGCTGCTGTTTAGAAAAAAAAAAATGGAATACGCAGAACTTTCTGGAGATGAGCTCTCTAGAACCAAAACAGAACAAGCTGAATTTGTTTCTCTCACATCATTCACAAACACATTAGCACCAGGACTACTTGCCACAAAGATATACATTTGTGCTGTAGCCTGTTAATCTTGATACCCTGCAGCCAGATGAAGTGGGCCAGCACGATTACTTCTGTGGTCCCCCTTGGGATGTACAACATTGTCCCATAATATGACATTTCTCTCTCTTACTGTCCTATGTACTTATTAGCTGATATTAATGACCTTTGTAACTGGGCCAGAGAAACCTTCCAGAAATAATCATTCTTGTGATTACTTGTTTGGATTTGCATCTGTAAGTTTCCTTAGGATAATAGCTTTTGGCAAGGACTCTTCAGCATTGCAGAGCACTCAGATATTGTGTTGGGTCTAGGACAAATTATACTAAATGTGCTTATTAGGTAGCATGATCCCAGAGCATGTAAATCCAGTCAGACAGCTGATGGTACCTCTCAGACAACCCACAGAAACAGTGATAGAAAACCTACCAGCAGCATCACTAGTAAAGATAACATTATTCTGTCATGTCTAGAAACTTCATGCTGTATTTGCTTTCTTAGCTTCTTTATGTCACTATAGGATAAGAGACAACACAACACAGACACACTGCTGCTCTCAAGGCAGGAAAAAAGGAAGTTTATTTTCTGACTCCAACATTTATAGATTTCCAAAGGTGACAGTGGATTGGAGGGTGAAAGTGCCACCTCTCCAATGACACTGGACAAACCAACAGGCCATCAAATTTCTCCTCCTCCATAAAAGAATGCAAAACAATAAGTTGTTTACAGAAAGTGTGTGATAAAGTTTGCTACAAGAATGCAAACATCAGAAGGCTTAGAAAATCTTAAAAAATCGGGGCGACATATTTATGCAAAACCTAACTACAAATTATAATTAAACTCCTTTGGGGAACAACTCAGTCCATCAGACTGTAACCTCAAAGTTAAATGTGTTGTAATTGGAGATCTATCCAAACTGTGGTCTCACCAGTGCTAGAAAGGAAAACCTCACACTTTCCCCTGTAGTCTTCAAATTCAATTCCCACTGAGATGACTGAAGAGCTGATTAAGCAAAAGCAGAGATTATCACTCTGGGAGTGTCAGCTTCTGCTCTCTCATGCTTCTGTCTGTGGTCCTCTGTACACGAATTATGTACCTATAAATAAATCAAATTATGAATAATGGCTGCCAAATATTAGGTTGAGAGGGCATTTATTTTTGTAAATGCCTTAGAAGCATATGTATAAGATAAAATATATTACCTAGAACTAATCCCTGGTAGAGAAACAATAATTGAAAACCAGTAATAAAATATTTTCTGCTGTTCATCACAGCTGAATCAATACCATGTACAAACAGAGCAATACTGATAATAGGTTATTTCTACACAGTTTTCAAGAAGTCATGCAAGGGAGCCCCATAAATCTGATGTGCTTCCTGCTTCTGTCTGTGCCCTTTGCATGCTGGTAGCCCCACAGCCTCTCCCCCAGCCCCAGCCCTCGGGTGCTGACTCAGCACAGTCAGATCACAGAGCAGGGGTTCACTGAACACAGCCCCTGACTCCCGGCCACGACTTGTCAGTGTCATGAAGAGAGGTGAGCTGAGTGAGGCTGGGGTGCTGTGCAAAATATACTGGGGTGTGGGGGTTTATTCTTCTAGTTCTGCTCACCTTCACCTTTGAAGTCTACTCTGGACCTTGAAAAAGACAGTCATAAATTTTGTGAACAAGCTAATTTTTACACAAGCCCCTCCTGATCTTTATTGCTCTCTTTCTACTGGAATATATTTTTCTGAAATTATTTTATTATCCTTCACTTTGTTGATAAAATACAGAGTAGAATATCCGCACACTCATCTTCATGGGCCATGTCACCACATCCTTTCCATCCCATTTTCATGGTCAGGGAGTACCCTGTGTCTGTGACCTTCAATAAATCTCCTGAGTTCCTTGACTTCTGGAACTATGAGGGTTGAGGTCATGATCTGCTTCTGAAAAACCAGAAGGACAGTTGAAGAGGGGGTTGCAGAGATACAGGCAATCCCAGCCACCATCATCTCCTTCCTTGCTGATGCAGGAGGTGGAGTGGGAGCAGAGGCTGGGATCAGCAGCTCTTGCTGGCCTGGGACATTCCCCTCTAGTAATTACTTGATATATCCCTCAAACCCTCCTTAGTCAACAACTGGAGAAAGGGCAATGCAGAGACTGTTAGGAAAAAGGGGATCAGGACAGGGATGTGAAGTCAGGAATAGCTGATTCTCATTACTCCAGGCAGTGGCAAAATGCACTGTTTCCTCCTGCAGAGTTTTGCCTCCACTGTCTTCCTCTGCTATTTGCGTCAACAGCATATAAGTGATTTTAAAACTCTGCTCACATCAAAGCTTGCCCATGGTGCTGGTGACACAGGACTTCTTGTCACTTTGCATTTTTACTGAGTGCAGAGTCTTTGCTCTCCACACCTGTGGGGAAGCAGCAAGGCAGGAATCGGGCAGCACCATTTGCAGGGCAGAGACATCAGCCTGTGTGCTCAGTAGACTGAAACCAGTCCTCATGCTGCCCTGTGACCTGGCTGGATCTCGTGAACCACATACTGCTTCTCTTACATATTGGGAGACATTAAATATCCATGAGGTAAAGAGAGGAAATGTGCTGGTTTGGGGATCTACATACCTGTTTTGACAAGGTAGATCATGGCTTTCACAGAATAAAACCTATCTAAATTAAATTAAATTAAATTGCAATTAAATTCACTTGTAACATTCTTAAGTAATATGTAACTTTCTTAAGCAATAATAAATCATAGAATCATACAATGTTAAGGGTTGAAGGGACCATAGAGATCATCTAGTCCCAACTCCCCCTGCCATGGGCAGGGACACCTCCCACTAGACCAGGATGCTCAAGGTCTTATCAACCTGGCTTTGAGCGTTGCCAGGGATGGGGCATTTACAGCCTCTCTGGGCAACATCTTCTGATGTCTCATCATCCTCACAGGAAAAAAATTCTTCCTATAATCTAACCTAAATTTCTCTTCTTTTAGATTGTGCCCATTACTCCTTCTCCTGTCACTACAGTTCCTGACCAAGAGTCCCTCTCTGGCTTCCCTTAGGCCCCTTCAGATACTGGAAGGTTGTTGTAAGGTCTCCACACAACTTTCTCTTCTCCAGGCTTTCAGCCCCAACTTTCTCAGCCTGTCCTTGCAGGGGAAGAGCTCCAGTCCTGTTATCAACTTCCTGGCCCTTGTCTGGACTTGTTCCCACAGTTCCATGTCCTTCTTATGCTGGGAACACCAGAGCTGGGTGCAGCACTCCAGGTGGGGTCTCATGAGAGCAGAGCAGAGGTGTAGAATCACCTCCTTCCACCTGCTGGCCATGCTGCTTTTGGTGCAGCCCAAGGCACTCGTGGCTTTGAGTGAGCATCGCTGCCAACTCACGACAGGCTTTTCATCAACCTTTGCACCCAAGTCTTATTCTGCAGGGCTGCTCTCAATCCCTCCTCTGCCCAGCCTGCAGGTGTGTCTGGGATTGCCATGACCCAGGGGCAGGACCTTGCACTTTGCTTCATTGAACATCATAAGGTTTGCATTGGCCCACTTCTCAAGCCTGCCAGGGTCCCTCCAGGGGCATCCCTTCCCTCCAACGTGCCAGCTGCACCACACAGGTTGGTGCCATCAGCACATTTGCTGAGGATGCACTCAATCCCATTACCATCATAATAATAAGATTTTTGAAAATCTTTTAGGTAATAAAGGGTTGATTAATTTACCTTTGTACCACAAACTAGTATATGCTCTTTATTTTCACCACACATACATGGAGAATATGACCTGACATCCTGTGTGAGTGTCTTTACCATTAAGTCCAAGTGCACATGCAAGCAGACTTGAAACTGGGCCAGCAAATTAAAATTTCTGCATATTTATTTTTTTATGTTAACTTCACCCTCATTTTTATTCTCAAAATCCTAAGAAATCAGACTATTCTTGGGCTACATAATATTTGTTGTAATTCTTAAACTTAGGCAGTGAAGTTGTTCTGTGGGATAGGGGTTCAAGGCAATATCCAAAGGGCATTTGTAGGCTTGCACCATCCTCACATGAGAGAGAATCTGACCCATGGCAAGCATCTCCCCAGCCTGGGGGTCTCATCACCATTATTGTGGGGCTGGGTCTGCCCTCTGTGTCCTGCTTCTCACTCCATCACACAGTGATGCTTCAAGCCTGCACTGTGTGTTCCTGTCCCTGTACCAGGCACCTCATTTCTACTACACAGAACCAAAATAAGCCTCTCAGTTCAGGTTAAACTCCTTCCACTCCTAGGAACCTTTTTAGCTTGGTCTCACTGCCTGACCTGCCTAAAATAAAAGGTGTGAGTTTAAGGTTTTATGTACTTTGTAAAGGAGAGCAGATTTTCAGGCAATGGATTAGATCAAATAAAAGAAGCCAATATTGTATACACGGCTTTATTGTATTACTTTGAATATTATTTAAAGTGTGTAAAATATTACAAACCATCTTCTCTTGGCAAAGCATATTATTTTTATTCTTCAATTGAATTGTTTTATGTAACCATATCCCTTAAGCATTCATAAGCATTAATGAAATTATAATTTTAATGGTGAGTTCTAGGTAATAGATGCAAGGCAGAAGACACTGTTGGATGTAATAGAATAATCCAGGTCCTGGCTGATGAATACCCAGAATTTAGAAACTGTGTCTGCACTACAGACGATATCTGTAGCATCACAACTTTGCTTGGGAAACTGTGCAGCATTAATAAAGGTAACTGAACATAAAGTTGGAATTATGAAGACCAAACCCAGTAATTTTGTAACCACCATTTTAAATAGATTCAACTTTCTTTGCATATTCTCAAGTCTAACAAATGCCCCCAAAAATTAATCTTGTCTTTTCTATGATATTCATGCTCCATCATGCATACGAAAGAAATGCCACAAACAAAGCAGTAAAATTTATGTGAGAAATTCAAATGGCTTCTAAAACTCATGTTGAATCCAGTGGAAAGCAAGAGTGAATACACAATATGTGTTGAGGCTTACTCAATGTCCAGGGAAATTTGAGAATCACTGGATCTAGGTTGTGTATATAGACACATTCAGACACTTCTGAATGGGAGGATGAGTGAATGATGACACGGGGGTGCACAGTTGTGTCACACTGTGTTGCAGGAGGACCTTCACTACATCTAGGAGAGGCTACTGGATGTGTGAAACATAGTTACCTGCATAAAGCTGTACATAATATATAGAGTGCATCTTTTAAAAATTCTATTGTTCTCAATGGGCTGAGCTCCCCTCAATGTATTTCGATTTTTCTGAGAACTCTTATCCCTGCGCAAAGTCTATCTCTGTAATTGAGAATTGCTTAGTACATGAAGAAGTTGCAGTTTCTGGTCCAAAGTCTCCTGCCATAATAATTAGCAAAGCTGACACAAGAGAGATAAATCAGCCAGCGAATGAGAGTCTGCAAAGTGAGTTTCAAAGAGATTCCTGGAACTGATCCATCACACCCTACTGGCATCACACAGCATTCGTCGTAATACTAGACTGGACATTCATATAGTACTAGAATATAGCCTTATTGTAGAGGGAATAATAACATCCTGATCTGCCCCAAACTCCTTGCCTCAAACAAGAAGTATGGATATCTGAAACCTAATGTTGATGTCATTGGAACAGTTACTTTTGCTTCTAGCAAAATAACGTCATGTTATATTTTTTTGCCAATTGAGATTACATCTCTCACCGTAATACTAGACTGGACATTCATATAGTACTAGAATATAGCCTTATTGTAGAGGGAATAATAACATCCTGATCTGCCCCAAACTCCTTGCCTCAAACAAGAAGTATGGATATCTGAAACCTAATGTTGCTTTTGCTTCTAGCAAAATAACATCATGTTATATTTTTTTGCCAATTGAGATTACATCTCTCACCACTACAGAAACAAGTTTGGATGTACTTACAGTAGTATTGAGTTTACCTACAAGGGGCAGCATATGGTGTTGCCAGGCACTTTCAGGAGTAATTCTCCCTGTTTAACTTAAATTGCTATTTTCGGTAATGAATCAACCATCTTCTGGAATTGTGATTCTCTCTTTAAAAATTATGCATAAGCTTAAGATGATAATTCATGATATGTCCAAGCTGTAGATGGTTAAAATTATGTGCAATTAAACACTTTATGCAGTAATTTTAGTGAGGATTTTTACTACTGTTTTGCAGCTGACCTGTTAGAGTGGACTGTGCTATACCGCTAACCGCACACAGTAAACATGAGGAAGATTCATTAGTTTGTAAGACTGCAATTATGACGTGTTTACACACCGCTCAGAATTAAGCTAGGGCTGCTTCACTCATTGTAGCGCATTAAGACAAGTACCCTTTTCCCGAGTTTTTGTGCTGTGATGATGATCCACCATCCCTTCGATTCATAACTGCTTGTACCTATTTCTGCAGACTATTTGGAGTCTCCCTCAAGGTCAGCCACGGAACCGGGTGTCCCACACAGGAGGCGCGAAGGCCGCAGGCGCTCGGCGGAGCTGCAGAGCTGCAGTGTGGCGAAGCGGCGCTGCCGGGAGGAGCCTCGCTGCTCTGCTGTGCACAGGAGCTTCCAGAGGGCCTGCCAGGCAGCCGCAGACACCTGCAGCTTCCCCGGGCCTGCAAAGTGCTCCTTAGCCTGGAAAGAGCTGAGGAAAACGGCTCTGGGAAGGTGCACGTGCTCAGAGCCGCTTCAGACGAGATGCATCAAAATCTGGGAGGGAATATTTAACAACCCTTGTTTACAGTACCCTCAGGAGAGCCAAGCCTCAGGAGCCAGTGAAAGCGATGGCAGTGATGATGACTATAATGCTGATGTTGATGGTGAGAAAAATCTGGTCACTGACACAAGTTAGTGCTCTTCCAGCAGCCCGAATGCTTTCATACATAGCAGTAGTGTACAGTCTACAAAAAAGTTTTTTTGTCCATTTGCAATTCAACATTGGAAACATGATCATTTTAGGAGGTTTATTTATAAATAAATTCAGAATCTGATACAAACTGGTAGCCTGAGTGCAAATACTGTGGTCCTTCAATGTGTTAATTTGATACAACCTGATCTAAATCAATCAGTTTCAGTTTTTCACTATAACTAGAAGCAGTATAAGACCAACAAAAATAATTTACTAATAGCAAGAATTGCCTGCTAGCTTTGACTACAGCTCATGACAAGCAGTTAATTGAACTTGAAAACTGGTCCACTGATAAACATATTAAGGCTCCTGGCTTTTATGTATTCATAAGAAATCTGACTTTATAATGAACTGAAAAGCTCTAAAAAACTCTTCTTGAGTCCACATGATCTTTAATTATGTAAAAAATGCTAGGAGCAGCCTTTGATAAACTGTGTTTTGACCCCAAAACTTATGAATATATGTAATAGTGAATTTAGAATTTGTTGGTGGGTTCTATTTGGTCAAACAAATTTGTTTTATTCTTGTTGATTTTTACTCCTGGCACTATGTCAGCAAGACAACCAATACTTTAAATTTAAAAAGCTAAGATGTTATTCATAATTTATGCCTCTACCTCTATCTTTTTCTTCTAGACAATATTAGTATGGAAACAAAATTACAATGGGGTTTATCTGCTCTCTCCAAACAAGGTAAGCCTGAATTTACTTATTAATCCTAATAAATAATTTTAGTTCAATTTTCGACAGTGTGCAACATACCTTCAGATTAAAATGAATACTTTTCACTGAAATGGATGAGCAGGGGGTTAATAGACCAAACATATCTTCAGTTAAGGTACTGGGTAAAGAAGAACCCAAAAATGTAACAGGCAACAATCAAGTAATGTAAATGAAAATCAGGTAACAATTATAATTTTGTCAAACTTACAGAGGCAAATCTTATCTCATTAACATTTTAGGGTCTAGAATTTTCGAGCTATCTTTGGAAGATTTATTTCACAGTCTCGAAATACCTAAACTGATGTTAAAAGCACAAAAATGCCATTTCTATTCTCTTCTTCATTACTTATTACTTAGCCTAGCTGTGGCACTCACATTCTCTGACCCTGATTCCTTCACCCAGAGTTTTTCTGCTGGGAAGCTGAAAGGCAGTGAGGCCTTAGAGAAAAGAAAAACAATTCTTACCTCATTTTCTTTTCCTTTGTTGTGCTCACATATGGAATGTGTTTGGAGACTGTTTACCCACAGGTGATTGCTTGATTGGACTCTGGTGTGAGTTGTTTTGTCTCATTTGCCAGTCAGGGCCAAGCTGTGTTGGAACTCTGGAGAGAGTCACGAGTTTTCATTATTATCTTTTTAGCATTCGGAAGTATCTTTTCTGTATTCTTTAGTTTAGAATAGTATTCTTTAATATAATAGAATATAATGAAGTAACAAAATAGCCTTCTGGTAAGATGGAGTCTTCATCATCATTCCTGCTTCATTGGTGGCCCTGCATTTACAATACCCAGCATAAGACTGCACAATGGGAGATTTCAGCTGTTTCAGGAGGGTTGCTTGTGAGCAATGCAAGAAAGAAGTACGAAGTTACTCCATAGGCTTGAAAGAAGCAAGAAAGAAGGAAGAGCTGGATCAGAGTTTTGGGAATCAAGCTTTATTTACTGGAATTATGCAGGCAGGACACCTACCAGTCATCACTCGAGAAAAATGTTCTTGAGATTTTATTTTTAAAACTGTTATTCATTTTAGTGCACACAACAAACAGGAGCTGTTTGGATGTGAACAGGGAGTGCGTTGAAGATGAAGTTTGTAACAAACAGTTGTCCCTGTACCTAAAAGTTTGCTCAGTAAATAAGAAGTGCAACATGGAAGGATGTCAAGCAGCCATAAGGTTCTTCTATCAAAACATGCCTTTTGAAGTTGCCCAAATGATGATATTTTGTGACTGCATCCAGCATGATGAATCCTGCCACAGAGCCAAAGAACTTCTCCATGGCAAGCCCTGTGCAGTTACCGTAGTTCCACCCCCATCATGTCTGAATGTAATCCAGATGTGTGAAGAGAATGAATTGTGCAGGTGAGTAGAAGTATTTTGCCCACTAAGGTGCTTTTTAATAATGGTTCTGTCAAGCCATCTTTGTTATACTCTCTATATCCCAGCTATAGTAAAATTATTTTCTGCAGTGTATCTGCTGTGTTTGACATCTTCACAGATGTTTGGATCAAGTGTGGTAATTCCAGAAGTAATCCCACAAGTAAACTGAAATGATTAATTTTCAGGAAGGTTTGTAATCTAATGTGGGCTTTTCTTCTGCCTGTATCATGACACTTAACACCATTTCTGCTGGACAAACTATGCTATTGCATATTGTCATTATCCCTTTCTTCGGAAAACACCTGCCTGTCTGCACCTTTGCCCTCCAGCAATTTGCCCAAGTTGTGCAGCAGACCAGACAGAATTTGTTTGGTAAAAGTAATTACCTTCTGAGTGCAGAGTCTGACCCTTTGTACCTGACAGCCACGCAACCAGCTTGGCCTGTTCAAAAATCTTTTATCTTATTCTCTTCTTCTCAAGAATACTCGCAAAAAGCTTTCAAAAATCTGGCCTGAAACATGCATAGACCACCAAACTCATGAAAGATAATGCCTTTTCAAAGTTTCATTTTATATTTTTAAAACAGGATTACCCATATTTGTAGTTTAACCTATTTGCCTCCTTTTATGGACAGTCAATTGGCCCACTTTGTTTTTTAGTGTGGTCACCTTGTGGATTAGAGTTGAATTTTACCTCAAAGTTGTGCTCAAATTAACCTTCTGTCAATAAACCAGGAGGCCAGGAGATGGTTTTGGTTTTGTGCAGATTATTCAGATTGATATCAGTGAGAAGAGCCAAAGGGCTATTAATGTATGTCTGCACATCTATAGACATGTAATGTCATTATGGCTGAATTCCCCATCATTTTTGGAACATTAATGTTTCCTGGCACTGACAATAAATGCATATAATTAGCAAAATTAATCTGTGAATTATGGCTAGTCACATCCAAAAATCAGGAGGTGAATGAAAATAATTCCATTAGAACAGAGGTGGCATCTGCTTTGCGATCTTTTATTGTGTAACAAAAATATTTACAAAAATTTTCTAGCCAGTATTGCAACAGTCCATGCTTTTCCAGGTGACATGCTTGTGGCTACTACACAATATCAACAGCAAATTAATAATATATATAACACATATTATAACATATAATAACATATATCATTCAGGAAGAATATTTTAATAACTGTATGTACAATATACTAGACTTTACCTTTATCATCCCCTGAAATTTAATATGATAGATTTGTTTTTCACTATTATCTACATATTTTTTAGTTAATTTATAATGGATATTTTCTATTGTCATATACAGTGCATTAAAGGCCAATTTTATTCCATCCTAACAGCAATAAATGGGAATAATTTGAGATTATTGAACTGGTTAACAAGTTAATTCTTCATGTCGTTTATCTCTGCTATCTGACATTGGATGTAGATTATTTAATGCAAAATAAGTTGAATGTTTATTCCTCGTTCACACTGCTCAAAAATAGAACCACTAGAACAGCACCTGGTGTGATTTCATTGGGATGACTGGTCTAATTCCTGCATTCACATTTCTTCTCTGAGTATCTGAGGCTGCTGGAATTCACACTGTATTTTCTGGATTCTGGGAAGCAGGTGCTGATTAGAAGTGTAGTTGTTTTTTCTCAAAATCAGAGCAGAATTTATGTCAGCTGTCACTGAATATTGCAATTTTTAATGCTTAAGTGGTACCTTGGAAACACACTCCCTTTAGTGGCATTCATTATATGTCTTTTTATGAAATCACATTTGTTAAAATGTCATTGTACACTTCTTTTGTTTTCCTTTTTTTTTTTCCCTACCAGGAAAAAATACACAACTTTTCGGTCAAAGTGCTGGAGACATGTGACAAAAAAATGTTATAATGACGAAGCCTGTCTTGAAACTTTGCTCAAGGATGACATGCCCTGTTCTGCCACCACTGATTGCAGAGCAGCCTACATCAGCAGCTGGGGCACGATGCTGCACACGGAGTGCACCTGCCAAAATCTGCCTCCCATGGAGCAGCCTTTGTGTGAGCTCTTCCATCACATGCTGCACAGCAAATCCTGCTTCCGTGACTTACGTGAGTAACAGCTCCAAATTCACAGAATAATTAGTTTTAAAGAGAATTAAAACCCTAATCTTTGCTAGATCTTTGCTGCCACTGGTTTCAGGAAGATCTGTAGCTGTGGGTTTTTTAAAACATAAATAAAAACAAAAATTCAGTAAAAACACTGGGTGTAATTGAGATGAAATATAGGTACTTTCTGAGATCCAGTAATGACTTTCATGTTAAATATACATGTCCTTGCCAAGACTTGGGTTTAGAGAATTGTTAATGCAATAAATGGTAATATAGGAGCAAATATTAACGTTTTATTCTGAATCTGCAAAGTGCTTTCAAAGCAAAGCTCCTCTTTATCCCCACATATTCTGTCTGGGCACATCACAGGGTGGTTCTCTATCATAGGGTGGTTCCTGGTCTCCCACAGTATAAACTGAACCTGAAGGTTCATCTTCAGCCTCTGCAGTTCTTCAGCTGCATGCAGACATCCGGTCCATCAAACAGATCAAAGACCAAAGTATTCTCTTCTCAAATTGCTGACTTATCACACCAACTATTTGGCAATATAGATCCTCTTAGGATATAGTTCTCTCTAGGGCATCATGCCCTGTGCCAGCTATCTTCTACATGTATACTCCAAAATTATATATATACATATATATAATTATATATTCCAAAATATAAAAATATTCTTAATTCAAAATTATATATATTCTTAACTGAGGAGAGGTAATGACACCTAAAGATTTCCATGAAAAGAAATGGTTCTTTCATAGTTTTGCCTGTTGAACAGTATTTTGAAAACATATATGGATTGCATGCATGCATTTCATTGAATAAAGTAGCTACTCTTTCAGTTCTAGAAGCCAAAATGGTGCCACTGATAAGGGTGCTTTTTTATTGTGTTACTCAAAGGCTACCCAAAAATTAAAATCAAGTTGCTGAAATATTGTTTTTAGTTTGGTTAATTTTTACTCAAATCCAGACTCTGAGAAAATATTAGAAATCTTATAACAACTCCCCCTGGAAAAGTGATAACATAACACACCTAGACTTCAGACTTCTAGCAGTGATTTTGCTGATGAATATTATTTACTTGCTTGCTTTAGGGCTGAATTTCACAGTCCAAATGAGTGGGCACATCATCATGTTAGTCATTTCTTAACCTACAAAGCAAAAAAATGATTCTCATGTCTGAATAATCAAATAATTGCTGACGAGCTTTTGCCATTCCCTGAAGCAGTCTCAGGATAAAATTGTTTGAGGGTTTTTGTGATTGAAACTTCCCTAACCTAATTGGGACTGAAGAATGGAAGCTTATGTTTCTTGTGTTGTGCAACAATTTCCTGGCAGTTAAACAAAAATAATTTGGTGATCCAGAGCCTTTGGTGGACCAGTACCTACTCTACAGACTACTTCCAGTTTATTTTTGTTCTTGCCTTTTTATTGTTTTTTTTTTTTTTCCTAGATGTCTAGTTGTCATGCAGCTAAACTGATGATGGTGATGATTATAGGTTTTATTATAAAGCATGTTTTTAATGCCATTCTCTGCATGGCAGTACAGAGATGTGAAGTGACCACTGTGCAGGGCCCACCCAACCCCATGTGCTGACTTATTCCTCTGGCCTGAGGGTGATCTTTGGCTCACTTTCACTCTTGCAATGGCAATGGTCTGTAACTCTGAAACATTTCTGGGCAGGCAAACACCCAGGGTATGAGAAGGGGATCTTTGCCTCCAGAACTGGTGTGAACAGACCCACGAGTGGTGTTGACACCATCTCATCTTCCCGCCCATGCACGGCACTGCCTTTGCTACAAGTGTTTGCTCTCGAGGCTGTGCTCACAGGACTGCATTTGCTTCAGACTCAGTAAAAGGCAAGAATTGTGACAGACTGCTGCTGCGTGAAGCAGAAGCACAGGGTGGATCACTGCCAATGTAGGATCAGTGTCTCAACAGGAATAAGACAAAATATCAGTGAGGGAAAGAAAACTATTAGGTTTCCAAAATATTTTAAGTCTGGGTTGTGCTTTTGGATCTCACAGAAAAAAAAAAAACAAACAAAAAACAAATTACAGGTAGGTTTAGTCCACTGTTATTTGGACAGTGTTCCAGGCTGCAAACGTGTGCATTTCTTATATTACAAAAATTTCTCAGCTTGCTGTTCCTGTGAGTGAACAGATGTATACTTGTATGTTTTAGCCTTCTACTCTGTAAACTATACTACTTAAGTAAATCTCCTATTTTTCATTTCAACCAAAGAGACGTATTTTCAGATATATTCATGAAGTTATGCCCACTGAGAGGACAGGCCTTCCAGAAAAAAATTGTTGAGGCCTAGCAACACAGCTGGAGAATAAATTCTGCCTTGTGGAAATTGCTTCAAGACTGCTACCCCTTCTCACCACTTCTGTATTGGTTTGGTGGACCCAGTTCTTTTGGTGGGCCTATTTTTAAAACAGTTTATGTGAAAAGATAATTTAATCTCCTTTGTGGCAGAGAATATTTTCAAAGCATGCTTGTCATCCATAAGAAAAACTGAGCTGGAACAGGAAGAACTATTATGCACTCATACAATTTGTTCATCAAATATCAGTAAACAGTATATTTAAATAGCTCCCTTTTTAAATTATGTGGCTGTTAGCAAATTATCAAACAATATTAATTTACATATTATTTTAAAGTATTTTAAATTGATGTTTTCTTTCCAATATCCAGGTAAAATTTCTATTCAAAAGAAGGGTTTTCACTGGGTAAATACAGAAATGCCAGGGGAAAAGATTTCTGGAGCACAGCTCCATTCTTCTGCAATTAATGGTGAGTTTGGGCAAGTCACTCTATGATTCCCACAGCACTGCTCTCCTTGGGTGGGTTCAGGCAAATGAGCTCGACCTGTTGCTCCTTCATTTGGTCTGGAATTCTCCCTACCTGTTTAGCTTATACATCCACAAAATAAAGTTAATCAGACTGAACCAATTACTCTGACAAATGGTTTTGAAATAGATGTCTCACAATCACTGTACTATAATTGGGGGAAATTAAACTATTAAGCCTGCCAGAGCCTGACTCTGTACAGTCATTAGAGAGTAGTAGTCATAATGTGTAACACAAATTATTATCTTCAATGTCACACCTACTTCCATCTCTCTTGACTTTCTGTAGTAGTTACAGCAACAAAATTAGAAGCCACAGTAAGTAGTCTGAGCAGGGGCTTGTGTTACACTCCATCAGACTCTACCTTCTTCCACAGCAGGAGGGCACACACTATCCCATGGGCTGAAGAGCTGCAGCTTTTACTTCCTTTTATTTCTTTTATTAGAGCTGCTGTTTTCATTTCCATGCATTTACAGTAAGAAATTAAGCAACATAAAGCTAAAGTATATTGAAGTAATATACAAATGTTTTCATTGCTGAAATAATATTATTTTATATTTCCTTTTGAGGGGCCCAATTACAGAGTGAGAACTCTAAAGAGCTTAATGCACAAATATCACCTCTAATGAGAATGACCTGTTCTACCTTGTGCAGGGCAGATTACAATTCTCCAGACTAATACTACAAATTAGTTCCCAGAACTGTTCCTACAGAACATTTTTGACTGTGAAAAAAAAAATTCAATCTCTGCATGCAGTAGAAAATGAAGTGACTTCTAACCTCTCCATCCTCCAACTATTGCTGAAGTGGTCAACATGGATAGGGGATATAAAGGATATAAAAATGGATGAAGGGAATGGGATTCCTGAGACCTATGTGTGCATAATTAAGCATTTGGTTGTAGCATTAGCATTAAAGTTACTTAAGAATCATGCATGTCATCCAAGTGCTCTGCATTGCCAGAGATGAAAGTCAGAGACCCTCAAAGAGTAGTCCAGTTTTTTTGGACTGCATTTGCTGAGTATTGACTTCTCCTTGCCAGTTGCAGAGGGAGCCTGAATCCCTAGCTGGAACGAGACTCTAGAGGTTAAATAATGCAAGTCATGATACAAGAAATACTGCACTAAGTGAGAAAATGCAAAATGTGAGATATTGCACCCCTGTGACTAGTTCTAACTGCAGACCCTTTCAGTGAGTAAAATGCATTTTACATTTCACTCAGAGATTCAGATAAATATTTGCAAGAAGCAGCCTGCACCCAGTTAATTCTGTTCATATTGGAGTCTGAATACTTTCCAAAAACCTTTCCTTGAAGTCTTAACAGAACTTTGGATAGCTTTAGAAAAATAAAAAATGCTGACCAGCCTAAACCATACAATAAAATATTCTTTCTATTGTAGCTGTCATGTATGTGAGATGGGAACTTTAAGCTATAAAAAGTCTCATAGGAAGACAGGTCAAGAAGAAGAATTTGATTCAGGATATCTGCCTGATGGTAAAAGCCATACTGCAAATTGTTTCATAAATCCCACTGCCAAAAATCTAACTCAGTGTCCTAGATTCAAATGCTAATAAATGTGCATTACTCGGGCTGCAAAGGGAATTATCATCTTTACAAAATATTTATCCTTAATGAAATCAAATCCCAAAAAGATTTCAGGGCACAGAGGCAAAACAATTAAGTTGTCAAATATGACCTTTCACATGTGTGAAGACTTTTGAAGACATTTGCTTCTTGGATATTTTCTGCTTGAAAAACAAGAGATAAAATCTGTTGATGCCTCCACATAAAAATCTCAGAAGAATCCTTTACTAAGTTTGTCATTGAAAGATAAAGAAACTCTTTCACCAGATGAAATGAATGGCCATCTACAGATAAACAAGCTCAGAAGAAACTCAGTATGTCTTCAGCTTTTTCTTAGATTTATACTTTAAAATATAGCTTACTGTTCAAAAAACCAGTTAGATTCCTCAATTTAATTCAGCAGCATTGCAAATCATCCCATTGGATTATTATTAATAGAAGGAGTCTTTCACAATAAGTAAGAAATCTAAGCATATATACATATGTTCAAATATATTTGTGAATAAATAGAACCATGGAAGTTGAAAATTATTATTCCAGGTTTGGTGCAAAAAATGTGATACCAGGATTATGTGAAAATCTTGGCTGTATTTAAACACATTCACATTCTCAGGAGGGAGCAGGCAAACAGAGTCATCTTTGGGCTGGTACAACCCTGTTAGCAAGATGTGATGTGGGCAGAGTCAGAACCATACAAAAGTTAATGAGACTTTTCCTGTAAGCTTGAATTTGATCTCATTTTGGAAACAATATAAAAAAGTTACAAATCCAATAAAATTTCCCTAAACTTCTAATATGCCTACCAAATTATTCATCTTTAACCTGGTTTTAGATTTTTCCTATGCAAATGATATCAATGACTTTACAGATCCAAATAATTTAAAAGATTAGTTCCTGCACTTTGTTTTGAAATGTGATTCATGTGGGAAGATAAGGATTTATTTTCATCACCATGGAGCTCTGAGGCTAAGTTGTGGGTTATTTATGGAAGAGGAAGCTAGAAATACAGAACACTTACCCTGTTCTTGTGAGATACAATAAAATTTGACTTGATCCAAAACTGTTGAAATTTCATCTTAAATTGTAGTGTTATCATATATTTCCTACTGAAATGTAGAGTATTTAGATAAACAAGTAATTGGCAGGGTTTATCTGTAAGTACACCAGCTGCTGTGGGAACTGAGATTAGTTCAGCTCCAGTGCCTTTAATGTGTAACGTATCAAACACAGTCTGACAGTTTTATAAAAGTAGGAAAAAGCTGCCCATGACAAGTTGCAGGTAGCCAAGAAACCTCTGAGCAGAGGCTGGTGTTAATCTGTTTGATGAATATGCACTAGCTATACCTAAGCAGGTGGATCCACAATAGAATAAGATTCACCAAAATCCCTTTTTGTTCCTGATAGAACTGAATCAACATCTCTTTTACCAGCAATTCATCAAAAACACAGCCTTCTTTCAGATTTTGTCAAAAAAATAGAAAAAAAATCAGTTGGTCACTTCGGTATTTTGTTTGATTGAAATGAAGCACATTTTACAAATCTTATAAGAAAAAGCTCACAATGTGCTGTTGAAAATTTATTAGCCCATTTTTAATCATCTGTGACTGTCAATATATAATCTGTTAGATATAATAACTTTTGTGGTGACATATTTTAAAGTTTCTGCTTGCCTAAAATATGTGTGAAAGTCACTTTCCACTTCAAAAAAGTAAGAAACTCCTTCCTGCCCCACAACTGCTCCTACACTTATAAAAAGTTTTCAAAAATAGCTGCATGTACAATTCAGACTCAGAAAATGAAAAAAAGGCCTACAAATTACTCTTTTGCTAAAACCCATCATCTTAAGCAAGTGCTGTAACTTGAGAGCTAAGCCAATTGCTGATGTAGTTTTTAATCTACATTATTAGCAGTCCTAAGATATGACTAAGATTGGCCTCACCCCTCTTTATTCAAAAATTCACCATATTAAGTATCTTCCAGTAGGTTACTGGAATAAATGGAATGTTCACTCCCTTTGTGCAAATTGTGTTGGTTTGATCACTGCTTTCATTTTCTTACATTGGAAAACTTGAACTTGGGGTAGTTTTTTGAGAAAAAGTGAGCCCAGTCCTACAATAACTGTCCAACACCCTGCTCAGCTCCTTGTTTTCCTTGCTGTGGAAAACACATTTACTCTCTCTTCCCAGGCTGCTCCAGCATCCATACCACCTGTACTTGGATTATATGATACACTACTCCTGCTGCATGTATGCAGTGCACACAGAAATGCCCCATTTAGGGTTTGTGTGTGCATATGCATAACACATGAAACATATAACAACTGATAACTTAGTCAGAGACCAGAATATGGCCTTCTCACAGCCAGATAAGAGTCTCAGTGCTGAGCCCAGGATCCATCCCTTCCTTAGTGAATGTTTCCCTGGCTGTGTAGGACAGAGAAGCTCGGGAACAGCATTTGGGCCCTCTGCATTTGAATTCCCCTATTAAAAAAAACTTACCTGAGTGTACAAAACTTACCTGAGTGTAGAAAGGCAACAGAATCAGTGCACAGGAAAGTCACAGTAAGGTCTCGTGTTTTATGCTTGTGGCTCTGCAGTTGTGGCCACTTGTCACACCTCTCCATCCCGTGTCCAGGGCTTATATTGCACTCCCAACTGAAATGTTTTCTTCAGATATTTGATCAAAACAAATGGATTCATTACACCAGGGAAAAAAGAGATAATCCTCCTCTGGAAACTAAAATTTGTAACAGCTCCCAGTTCTTCAACAGTTGGAATTTTTAGCACATAAGCCACCTAAGTTACTTTTTGGTGAGAAGCCTAACAGAAAAAGGAAACTCCATGGGAATGGGGCCCAGAAAAATGGTGTTAGGTCCCATTTTAGGTTAATTTGATTCTAGGTGGAGTATTGCTCCACACTGAAATTACAGTAATATGTGAAAAAGAAAAATAAGTCTAGTTGATAAGTAAAATCCAAGTCTGCACTGATACACAGAATAAAATTAATATTTTAAAATCAAAAGGGAGAATATTCCAAAATAATAATCATAGTAACAAACTGTTTCCCTGCAGCAGAGTGAAAAATTCTGCTATACAAATGAAGTGCTATTGGAGCTGGTATTTATGAAAAGAAGTCTGAAAATTGCATTGGATCAAATGGTAAAGGTAGAGTTATTCCTACCACTGACATACATCTAGGTCTTTTCCCTCCTTTTAATTACTTTTGTCAAAATTGATAGATCATTTAGTTCACATATGTATGATTTCCAATACAGATCTCAAATCTGATTCTTATTACTAAGAAAGCAATTTTTTCATTTCTGTTTTCTGTTTTTATTTTTTAGGTGAAACTGTCTACATTATTGCTTACTCTTCCTGCATAGCTCTCATCCTAGGAATAGTCCTGTTGACTCTCCTAAAGATCAGGTAATTTGACAGGGATATTTATCACTGGTTCTAGGAAATTAAAAAAAGAGAAAATAAAATGTTTTGCCTTGGTTAAAAGGCGGACATTGTGATTGTCTTTAAAAACAGTCCAGCATGCCCCAGTGATGGAAAGAACTGACATTGTGGATGTCAGCAGGGAAGAGTGAAATATGATATGTATCTACAATGCCCTCCATTCATGCAGAGATCCTAGGCTTTGGGAGGTTTCATTTCCTGTCCCATGGCAGGGGAAGGTGAAATCTGAATTCAAAAACTCTGTGAGACTACGTTCCTAGCCCCATAGCAGGCAGGGGTAATGCAAAAAGGAAATGAGAATATTCAGCATTATAGCATATTTTGAAACCAAATCGTGAATGCTGCTATTGTAGCTAATATTCTTGCCAAATGCCATTTTTGCTCACAGGAGTCTGTAAACAACATCCACCACCCCTGCCATCCTTTCCCTTTCTCCCCTCCCTCTCTCTCTCCCTCCCACCCTCCCTCCCTCCGTATAAGAAACTGCCCATACACCAATGCTTGGTAAGAAAACAGAAATGTGCATTCACTTAGTTAAATGAACATGGCCTTTTCTTAAATGATACATTTTCTTGGACCAAATTAAATGGCCAGATTTCAAGAATTACACTGTCAGATGATAGGTAACAGAACATGATGTAGCAGGAGCTATGTATAGTGGGAGGGATATTGAGTCAAATTTCATTATTACATTCCAAGGCAGATCAAAGAGGAATTGTAGAAAAATGCAAAAGGCAAGTCAAGGATATATGGGAACAGAGGCTTTCTCTTTAGGTTTGCAGTTACAGGAATATCAGCACATAAAGAAAATTCAGATTTAAAAAATACAGAAAACAGAAGAAAGAAGAATGCATTAATAACAATGAAGGGGATTATTTTATGCCACAATGTTCATCATAAAAAGAGGAGAATTTTGCCACTGATTTCAATTAAGCCAAAGTTCAAACCAGAAGCTGTATAGTTTATTGTTAAATACATGCACATTCTTTGTTTTCAGAGCCTGCAGAACAAAATATGAGTCAAGAAGTCCCTCGCCAGACCATTCTTCTGAAACATTTATGGCCCATTATAAAAGTCACAGATGAACTACTCTGTTGCTTATGCTTTTTATGGCTATTCCTGAAAGCCAGCCTGTTGTACATATGTGATAATAAAATATATATTAGAAAAACTACTATAAATTATGAAATTTTGTAGTTAAGCATACAAAATATTTTTTATATTTATTAGCTTATTTTTAGCCTTTTGAAAGCTGAAAAAAGGGGGTAAAAATGGTAAAGCTGTGCTCTTTCTTATTTGTGTAGATTCACAGATCTGTCCTGAGCTCTACATTTCCTTCATTTTTAGTTGCACATGACACTGGTATAAATGGTATATCAACAATGACAATCTTTGAAGTCCATCCTTTCTGATCTCAACTCATCTGGAAGAAATAAAAAACATCCACTCAGAAACATTTTAGAGACCTGATAAAGGGCACATATCTGGCAGTTTTGTATACCTGGCTCCCAGGTACCACGTACCTGAAGCAACAGTCACAGCAAAGCTGTCTGTAGTTTGATGCTAGAGCACTTGCAGGGTAGGAAGAGATCAGGATTACAGCCCCCTTAAGAACTAAAATGACTCTCTGGAATAATGCTTTGACTCCAAAATGTAGTTGCTGAAAATGTTTTTAATTTCTCCCCAATATGCTTCTAAAAGAAACTAGTGGAGTTTGCCACTTTGAATACAATAACTTTAGAAAGCTTTTTTTTGTCTGAATGAATGCCCAGTGGAGAAAGTCACTTGTTTGGGGCTGAAGTGCCTGCTTCTCAAGAGAGAAGCTGTGACCCATCTCATCATCTGTTTCCTATTCATTGTCTCTAGGCAAGACGCGAAGTGCCTAATTGTCCCCTTGCACTGTCCTGGGAGCCATGGTCCCTAAACACCATCCTGGATCCCACTTTGTGGCTATGAGCTCTGGATTTCTCTCTATAGACGAGTTGTTTTGCTAGATTTAAGCTTCTGTTTACTACCAGTGAGTTGTCTTTGTTAAATATTTGTAGCAGTCTGGTTCTGGTGAGCACAAAATAATGGACTGCAGTTTCTTATTCAGCAGTTACCATGAATAGCACATGTATGGTCTTGTTATAATAGTATTTGATTAATTAACCTTTTTTGGTATGTGATTAGTTTTAATTTTGTTTGAATTATCACTAAATGTAACTCACTCACCTCCAGTTTTGACCATGAGACCAATGGTCTAGGGCCACATCTAGTGCTAGATGACAGATCTAGGACTAGAAATTAATATGATCAGAAAGAACAGAATCCCTGCTCTTCTATGTGACTCTTGCTTCTGGCTTTGGTAGCTTGCAAAGTTATTACTGTAGAGCAAAATCTTATGTGTGCAGTTCTGTTGGGGAGAAGCTTAGAAATCTTAAACAATTATTACAACATGGATTTTCTCTGTCTTTATTATCTGCATAAACCAAAGAAAGTCCTTTTTGTTTTGCAGTCAAATGTTCTGTCATTACTAAATCAGCATTTGAACAAAAATACAGAAACAGAGAAGTGAAGTTTTTTTGTTAATCAAAAAGATCTCCTTTAGCAGTCTAGCAATTTGCAGCATCTGGCTTAACTCTCACCAAAGTTGTGTATTAATATTCTTCATGTTAAAACTGTCAAGTGGGAAGATTTCAAACGGAAAATACTGTTAAGAATATGTTGGATAAAACCATTTCATTATACAGGAAATGTACTTCTGACATGAAACTTGTGCTGGTTTTCAGTCTGACTTCAAAAACCAGTGAATCCTCCATGTCACAAAATTTGAGGAGATACATGTAAATTCAGATTTTACTAAACCTCAATCATCAATAGCAAAAAAATTACCTTCTGTCTTAGAAACTTTTTTTTTCTATCTTACGATTAGACACGAAAAACCCAACTCAAATATGTGCTTAGACACGCACACACACACAAACAATTTGAAACTGGGGGTATGTTACTCTGAGAGACAGCAAGACATTTAGTGGCTATTGTGTTTTTCTGCAATTTCACAGGCTCTCTCCTAAGAGATGACTTAGATGCTTACTGGGAAAAGTACATTCCCTCCACTCCATGTGTACAAAGTAGTCTGTCAATTGTATCTGGGTGTTAGTTATTAAATAAAGGAATTTCTGCTGGGATGATCTGTATTCCTGTGATCCTGATTATACTCGAACTGGTTCATAGTTTTCTGAACAGAGAATCATAGAATCAGTTAGTTTGGGAAAGACTTTTAACACCTTTGAGTGCAACCATGATGGAAGAAAAAGCAGTATTTTGTAAGAGCTTCATTATTCAAATATTTTCCCCTGAAGTATGACATCTGCGTCCAATACCCAGATGAAGAAAGTTAAGTCTCTTGATGACAAGATTCCCAGGACACATGTAATTTTGTAGCATTCATCCTCTTTCCACTGGAGCTGAGACATCACAAAGTGAAGAAATGAAGGCTGATTGGGCTAGAGGGAGAAAGCATGAATTTTTGCCTTTATAGCACTCTCATCTGAAAGGGAGAAGACTGGGTTCCAGTATTTTCTTTGAAGATTGTTTATACATTTTATCTAACAATTGTTTCAAATTAAATGTGTGATGATTTTTTTGGGACAAATACACAGGACTAGCTCTTCCTTATGCAGTGTGAAGATACAAGGCTGCAAAGCCCAAGTTTCTACTTCTGTCATGCCATAGTGAGTCTGGAATTCTTCAAAAGGAACATTTTTCCCTGGCTGTCTCACCTGCTTGTCTGGTCAAAAGAAGAGCTCCTTGGATAGGCATGGGCTCAGCCTTTTGAGGCTGTTGTGGGAATCACATCCCGGTGCTCTGGGCTAGACATCAGACCAGGCCAGGAACACAGAAGGTGGAAGGAAGCAGCACCAACATCAGAAGATGGTGCCGTAAAACAAAGAACACCATTCAGTTCTTTTTGAAAATGACTGTGGCTGTATTTCCACCAAGGAAAATACCAACCCTTATGTTCAAGCTAGTGAAGATAACTAACTGCAGGTCATGTTGAGGCACTTCAAGAGTAGCATGGGGTAGGGAATTTTGCTGTTGACTTTGCCAAGAAAATTCCCCCATTAGCATTTTGATGTTTCAGACCACATGCTGAAGTGATTCAGTCTCCCATGAAGTGTGTAGGGAATCTTAGACATCACTTAGCACAGATTTCTACCCTGCATTGGAACATCTGAAGTTAGATAATGCCTCATTGAATTTTTCGAACTCCTACGTCCATTCCTGCCTGTGGCTTTTAATATTTAGTTAATGGAGGAAAGAAATATTTCCCCAGTAACTTAAAAGAGATTTGTCTGCTGTAAAAACACACAGGAACACCAGATTAAAAGGTAATCCTAAGAAAAAGCACTCAAAATGGATTACAAGGTAACAAAGTCAACACAGGCATACACGTCAGTGACAGTTCATATTTGCTAATGCTGTATGCATGAGCTGGTTAGTCAGAGCTGCTGAATCTGGCATAATACATGAGCATATCAGTTTCAATAAACAGAGAGACAGATTTTATTTCAGCTGTAACACCACATATTGCAAAATCACAAATGCATTTAACCGGGTGGATACATGACAGTTCCTTGACAAACATATCATCTCTTTGACATTGGTTTCAAAGGACTAAATTGACTTTGGCTGTAGTCCTGCCTGCTGTGTTATTGCAGCAATGAAGATCAACACTGCATTGCAGCAGGACTGTAGAGAAAAAATAATCTTCAAAGATATAACAAAAGAAAAGGTGATTAATTTTGATCAGCAAGTCAAGAACTGGAATTCATTCACTTCTTGCCACTCTTATACTTGTTTAGCCACCTTTGTGGATACTTCACAATCAGTGAAGCAAACTGAAGGCAATGTCAGAAATCACAGAAAAATTCAGTGGCAGAAAGTACCGATTTTCTGATATCACAGTAACTAAACAATATTTCTACCCCTTAAAACAAACTCAGTGAAAAAAAAGGGCAGATCTTATATATTCACACTAAATCTTTGGATAAGCATTATTTCATTTCAACAACACTGATTCCAAACATAAGAATTTTGTCTCACAGACTTGTAGTCTTCATTTGGTGACTCCTTAATACAATAATAAAAGTTTTATGAACTCAAATGACACTATTAAGAGAGGAAAATTAGCCAAAGCCTCTCTGGACTTATTCACAACACCAGAGTATTTAGTTCTTATTTCATAAGCTCTGGTTATACACAAAAATGAACCATTAAAGTGCTGGTCCAGAGCCAAGTTGCCCTAATACATAAAAGTTTAAACTACAAAGCAAGCTGCTGCTGGAAGACATTAGAACTGTATGGGATCTATGTCATTGCTGTGTTCTGGAAGGCACTAAAGAATGATTATGCCCATACTACTGAAAGTGATCAACTTTTCCTCCAACAAGGCACACCAGTCATGCCTTCAACAATGCAATATCTTGACTTAGAATTTTTATAATGACACTGTGATAAGAACAGCTGCTCATGGAAGCCAAACACCTGGATGCAAGCCCTCCAGAGCCAGTGGGCTATTTCAGAGTAAAGTGGCAGCAATGTATTCAGTTGGGGACAGACAGTGATAGGGACTAGAAGAGCAGACATCATTAGTGATGGTTCACTCTGAATATAAGCATAAAGGTTTAGGAAGTCAGAAGCACTGGAGAGCCTCATCCCATGTCTCAGCATGTTTTTGAAGGGGTATAGTCTCAGCTGTTTTACTGTGTGCTGAATTCAATGCTGCCAATGTGAGTGATGCATGCTCATGGCATGGCTATTGGATTAGCCTTTGCTATTAAAATAAATTGATGCTTATTTTTTGAAGCCAAAGATTAGGTGTCAAAATGTTCTGCATAGTCAAAATTATGCCATCCCAGGAAAGCAGAGCAACAGCATTTTACAAACCTAAAAAACGTCAGTAGGCAAAACATGAGATGTCTCAAGATTCTCAGTCTTACTACAACTAAACAGGGATTTTATAGGGACTGCTCCCCTGGACCCACAGACCTAAATTCATCCCAGGTGGCAAATTTGGCACATAAACACTGGGTTGGGGTTTGCTTTTTTTTTTTTTTGTTCTGGCTCTATGTTTCTTTCTCTCATAACAATCCTGACAAACAATCTATTTGTCTGTGACCTCCACCCTGGATTACAATAACTCACGATGTGGTTGAAGCTGAACATGTGGGTAAAGTACAGGCTCCAGATGTGACTGCTCATCTTTTCCAATGCTCACATCATTACAGAATAACAGACCTGCAATTAAGGCTCTCCACAAGTTTCCAAGTAGTTTCTAAAACAGACCCAATAAAGAACTGAGGCATTTTAGGTTGTTCATCCACATGATTTAATAGGTACCCTGTTATACTGCACGGAGAGAATCAAGAGCCTTGAATCAAGAGCCAACTGTCTGCAAACCAGACAGTCCAGATGCTGAGAAGCCTAGGATGCCCTGTGCACAGAGGCATAAAAATGGACACTATCTATCCAGTTCCTTACTTGGCTGATAATTGAAGGCCTCACCACCACCTTCAAGAAAAAGAATGCTGCCATCTGTTGCAGAGGCACTGACATTCTTTTCTTGGGATTTTTCTGGGTTTAGAAATTTTTAATTCCATTCTACCCAGTGGCACAAATTCATCCAGATTTATGAGCAAGTGTGTTCTTTTTCAGTTCATAATCACAGGATTAGCTGAGTTGGAAGGGACCCACAAGGATCATCAAGTCCAGCTCCTGGACCATCCCCAAGCGTCACACCATGTACCTGAGAGCATTGTCCAAACACTTCTCAAACTGTCAGGCTGGTGCTGAGACCACTGCCCTGGGCAACAGTTCCAGTACCCAACCACTCTCTGGGTGAAGAACATTTCTGTAATATCCAACCTAAACCTGCCTGATACAACTTCAGGCCATTCCCTCGGGTCCTGCCATGGGTGTGTATTTAATCTCCCCAGGCTGAGCAGCAAGTTCAGTCTCACTTCAGTTGTTTAGTCTCACATTCAGGTTTGCATCACAACTGCGTTTTTTCCAAGGGCTGACATCACTTTCAGTCTTTGAGAAGCTCAATATTGTTTATGTTAATTACACATGCTTGCTCAGAGGGTCTTGGGTGGAACAAAATTCATCAGGACCTACATGAAACCTGCATACTTCAGCTCAAAATGAGCCAATTCTGTGCCTACAGAGAAAACTAAACAGGAAAAATTATTATTAAATAGGAAAGTATTACAGTAAAGTTAGTCACCTTCAGGGGTAAATGACACATAAATTAGGGAGTTTTTAAGATGTCAATTCTAGCACCATGTTTAGGCTTAACTGTACTGCTG